CGTTCTCGCAACCCACTACCAAATACGCTCAAACATAACTCGCTAAATATTCGTCGTCGTCTTCGTCGTCGTCGTCGTCGTCGCCGCCATCTTCGTCCCCGTCGTCGTCGTCGTCGCCCTCATTGTCGCCACCCCTCCCCTTCTGAATCGACGGATCAATGCACCTTGCAATCGCACCACCATCGCCACCACCAACACGCCAACCACTCGTCGAACGCTCGCCCCATAACAGACAGCAAAGCCCGTCATTCAAGATGATGCTGATGGTCACTTAATTTACCACAACGGAGACATTCTCCATCACAGATGTTCGTGACAATTTTTTCGTTTTTAATTTTTCTATATGTTTATGTTTAGAGATTACCAGAAACTTTTCAAGTTTAAAAAAAAAATCAAGAGACATTGAGTAAAAACTGCCGCACAATAAGTCTACACGTAACTGTTATAGTTTTCGACTATCCAACTTTTCTTTATTATTTCTTAATTATCTTTCGACAAAATCGTCGCGTCGCAACACATCGCGTGCGCCTTTAAGACACGTTTTAAAAGCGCACCAAAACACTAAACAAAAAAGTTCACACAATTTTCACCAGCAAAATTTTCCGAAAGTTAAAAAGAAAAGAAACAAAAAGTTAATTTTCCAGTTCAACTCCAATTAAACCTTACAAATTTTTTTCTATTGCTAGTCATAATTAAATTGAAGTTTCTCACACATACACACACACACACACAGTAATTTCCGGAACTTTTGGCGCATAATTAATGAAATAATATCGAAACTGTAAACTTTTCCGCATACATTTTCTTAAAAGCAGTTCAAAGTTAGAGCATATTTTTGTGGTATTTTTGCTTAAATCCGAAAGATGCCCAGTTACAGGTTTAGATATTAGCGTAAATAATTAACAATTATTGCCGTTTCATTTACTTGAAAATAACCGACTACAATACGCCTCCTTTTGCCACTTTTCAGATAAGATCATGGCCACACTGGGCGAAGGCACTTTCGGACGTGTGGTCAAGGTCAAAGACATGGAGCGGTAAGTACAAAAAAGCAAACCCTTCCAACAGTATCTGACTAAACAGCCAATTTATACATATATATATGAATGTTTCTTACAGTGATTTTTGCATGGCCCTGAAGATCATCAAGAATGTTGAGAAATATCGCGAGGCTGCCAAGCTGGAGATCAATGCCTTGGAGAAGATAGCTCAGAAAGATCCGCATGGTGATCAGTAAGTTTGCAGTTAAAGATCTTTGGTATTTGTATTAATAGTAATTAATCTATTCCCCTCCTGCAGCCTGTGCGTCAAAATGATTGACTGGTTTGATTATCATGGACATATGTGCATAGTTTTTGAAATGCTGGGACTGAGTGTTTTCGATTTTTTGGTATGTTTTGCTCTAGCTCAACTAGATGGGAACACAATGTCTCATATTTACATTTTATAATTGCAGCGCGAGAACAACTATGAGCCGTATTCGCTGGACCAAGTGCGTCACATGGCCTATCAATTATGCTATTCTGTCAAGTTTCTGCATGACAATCGTTTAACCCACACAGATCTCAAGCCGGAGAATATACTGTTTGTTGATTCGGACTACACGTCTCACTATAATCATAAAATTGTATGTACAGTGACCCTTAGTTGACCATACTTGAATTTAATATATTGTACTTATCGTATACTCTTCAATAGAATCGCGAAGTGCGCCGCGTCAAGAGCACTGACGTGCGCCTAATTGACTTTGGTTCGGCCACTTTTGATCATGAACACCATAGCACAATTGTCTCGACGCGCCATTATCGCGCGCCGGAGGTCATACTGGAGCTTGGCTGGTCACAGCCCTGTGATGTCTGGTCCATCGGGTGAGTGCGGCCCGTCTTTATATATATACAATATATAAAAAAAAAACACTTGGCTAATTTCTCTTCACTGACTTTAGTTGCATTCTCTTCGAGCTGTATTTGGGCATCACGCTATTCCAGACGCATGACAATCGCGAGCATCTGGCCATGATGGAGCGCATCTTGGGACAAATTCCATATCGCATGGCACGGTAATACAATGCAGCTCATGCTTTTTTAACTCAAGGCGCAGTATTCTTCATCGAAATCAATTAATGTGTAGCAATCACACTCTTTACAGCAAAACCAAAACAAAGTACTTCTATCATGGTAAGTTAGATTGGGATGAGAAGTCCAGTGCAGGACGTTATGTGCGCGATCATTGCAAGCCCTTGTTCCTCTGTCAACTGAGCGACACCGAGGATCACTGCGAGCTGTTCAGCTTGATTAAAAAGATGCTGGAGTACGAGCCCTCGTCGCGCATCACGTTAGGTGAGTTTTTGATTAAAACCATTTTATGCTCGATCTCGATCTAAATTCTTGATTTTCACAGGTGAGGCACTGCGACATCCGTTCTTTGACAGGTTGCCACCGCATCAGCGGGTTGGTGAAACGGGCATCAGCAAGCAGCCCCTCTCGTCCGGAAGCAGCAGCCGTGAGCGCTCGCACAGTCTGTCCAGATGAGAATTACAGCGATTTGGTTATTGTTGACAGCAGCAACAACGTTAATCAAGCACACAACTACAAATATGCGTACACACACAATGAGAACAGTCATCAATCAATGTAGTCCAACATTATTGAGCAGCGGAGAGCAGCAAACAATTACAACTACAACTACAACTACAGTAATATTAATATATTAATGGCGAACCTTAATTTAAGTTCTAAAGTCTTATTTAGAAATTTTGTAACTTGACTTGTATGGAAGGCAATTTCTACACAAATAACCCAATCGTTAAGTAAATATTGTGTGCCTGCTGCACGCGCTGCTCCATTAGATCCTGTGCATTGTCTCATCCATCTGCCAATCGTGTTTTGTTTTGTAATGATAACCAAATCGTGCATAATATTGATAATGCGTCCTCCTCCCCCGATACAGACGCCGCCAACCTAAATGTAAATGCCACAGAAATGTGCACAGTCTTACTTTGAGATAAAAAAAATATATCTTCAAACACGACTGCAATGTTTAAAGAAAATATATATACAAAAAAAAAAAATTAAAAAAAACTACAAATGTAAATGTAATACATGTATAAGAAAATCGATAAAGCGCTAGTTGAAATGCAGCTCCATGTGCAAGCTGTCATTTGCCATGGACTTGCTTATAATCTGTAATTAATTTACTATTTTTCGAGTGCGTGAGATGTAAGCTAATGCAAGCCATTACATACACAACCATAGCTAACCCCTTAAATCGATATCATAATGTAAAGATCAATTATTATGACACCTCCGGAGGGTCCACAAAAAAGAACAAAAGGCAAACGCAGCGTTTGTTTTTGTATAAATTATGTAGCAGCCAGAATCATTTTCTCTTAGGATATGTTTAATGTCTAGAATCGGCGCTGTTTGTTTAGTTTATTTTCGTCTACATACACCCAAACACACCCACACCAACACATATTCACATATATTTATATGAAAAGAACACTGGCAAGTGGGGAATGCGAGAAGTATATAGATACATATACTTAAAATACTTAATTCAAATGATTGTGAGTTAGTTTAATATTACATAAATATTAATTATTACATTATTTGCAATTAATTAACCCGGTCTACCAGCATATAAGATCTACGAAAAAAAAAAAAACAAAAATACAACTATTATTGTCAAGTTATTTAAAACTGAAATAAATTTTAAAAATATTTTACTCGAATTTTTTTTCATATACTTTCTGCTTTCAGAACAGACTTAATTTCCATATTGATAAGTCAACTCTTACTATTTTAGTCAAATATCGATTTGTCCATGAAAATGTATAATTTTTAATTTCAGACTTTATTTACCCGAGATATGAAAATTATATTTCTTAAAAACTCTAAATAAAAAATCTTGAAAATATACGCCGTTTGGAACTTTTGAAGCCCAGATTAGATCCAAAATATTTGATTTCAGAACTGACCCCATTTTCCCGGAAATTGAAATTAACCACTTACCATTTTTGAAAAATATGGTCTTCATTTAGAAATTTCTTGTTTTGAGTGTCAATCGATAGTGTCTCTAAGAGTCTATCGACGAATGTCAATCGACAGTGTTTATCCATGCAAGTATAGAAATGTATACATTGTAAAGATCTAACTTTATTTAACCGAGATATTCGGATTCAAAAAAAGTTTTTAAAATCTTTAAATTAATATAACTCGGGTTAGTGAAGTGCAATTCTAGAAATATATATCTTTGTGAAATCGTGAAATTCCATAAAATAGATTGGAATCGAAAGTGATCCTTCAAACGCTTTGAGATTTTTCGGGAATATATTAGCATTTATTTATTGTTTCTTTTAGTGGATTTTCGCTACGTGTTTAAATGTCAATTGGTTTTTCTTGTTTGTTTTCTAGAATTTTACAATAGTTTAACTAAATAAATAATAACAATTTATAAATATAATTCTCTTTTTTTGTTAGGTTCTCTAACTCGTTAGCTGAGTGTTTCGAGTTGTTTGCTTTAACGTAAATAATTTGTTGATATTTCCCATTCTTTAAGTATTTCAAAATTAGAATTAGTATCAGTAATATGCTTTTGATTTAATTGTTTCTCCTGCAAGAATTTGTTGAATTGAGCCAAAAACAGTTAGCTCATCGAAATGTGCATAAATTGGCTGGTTATAACTTAATGGCTAAAAATCGGCTTATGCTAGCTAAATATAAAAATAATAGTTAAGTCTAAAGATTGCAACGAAAACAAAAAACCTATGCAAACTATATACTTTATACGCAATAAATAAATATGTACCTAACATTTACAATCTGTTCATTATAATGATAAAAAATAGGCATTCGCTCCGATCCTTCTATCCTTCTATGTAAATATATACAGAAAAACAAAAACAACTGAGTTTCGCGCTTTGGGCAGGCGCACTGCTATACAAAGCAACAAAAAACTATTGTTCTCTTATTGTTTAAGCGTTTTCTCTCTTTTTTCTCTTCTTCTTTGTAACTTCGTTTCCGTTAACATTTTCATATTGTTTTATTGTCTATTTCAAAGATGTGGCATCGCCGAACAGGCGCAACTAAGCAGAATCGTAATTCGATAGAAAATTATAGAAAACAGCGACAGACAGTTGGGGCTGATATCTAACTACACATTTAAGTATGGATGCGCGTATATAGCATATATATACATATATTTATATAAATATATGCATATACTGTTTGTGGCCAGCTGCCTCTACTTGTGCCCAAAAACGAGCGTATAGTTTGCTGTGGTTACTGTCGACGGCAGCGCCGACAGCGCTGGTCATTTGGCCAGCTTCAGGATCTCCGCTGCTGCCGCCGGCGACGCTGCACTCGATGCTGTCGGCACGCCCGCCGGCGGTGCGGGCGCTATCCGTATGGGCTTGGCACGCTGCTGATTGAAGAGTCCGCTCAGGGTGGCCGCTGTGCTGGCGGAGAGCGTCATGCTGGCACCCCCAACGTTCGTCTGCCCACTTGACGTCCCTGTGCGCTTGCCCCGCGCCAACCCGTGGCCGCCATTGTTCGTTGACGTGGGCTGCTGCTGCAGCTGTTGGCCAATTACTGCGGATGCTGCTGCTGCTGTGGTTGCCGATGCTGAAATGTTATCCAACTCAGTCATTGCTTCTTGTATAGCTTGCTCGAGTTGCGAGTTCAGTTTGCGGCTCCTTTGTGGGTTTGTTGGTTGGTTGGTACATTGTGGTATTGGTGGGTGGGTGGGTGGTTGGTTGGTCGTGTGTGTGTGTGTGTGCGCGTGTGTGTTGTGGTTTTGGAGAGTTTTCGGTAGGAGGTGGTTGTCATGATGATGATGATGATGATGATTATGCATATACACACATATTGTTATACACACACATATGCATACGCATACACACACGTTGCGATTTATTTGTTTTTGTCAGCGCATAATAAAAAAAAAGAAACAAGAATATTAATTAGCAAAATTAAAATTTAAATGGACAAATTAAAGTCGAAACTAATTAAAAATGCATTTTGAATGCCAATCATTGCTACACTGCACAACAAGTACGACTAATACGCAAATGCAAATGCTACAAAATAATAAACTTTTGCAAAGAAAATTCAAATACTAAATATACAAATTTCTAAATATACTGCAAAAATATCTGAATTCAATTCTCTTGTACTTTGCGGCGGCTCGAATATTAGAACTTTCCGATGAAAATTACAATATAATATAGAGATGCCTTAAACATTTACTTTTTTTTTAAATTTTACTTTATTTCAAATAAAAAGCATATTCAATTCAATTTTTAAATGTTTGTATGCAAAAGGAAGCCTCTGTAAAATTGAATTGAATTGAAAATTTGAATACCGTTTAAAACCGACAAATTTTAACTTTCGAATCGCCACAATATCCAAAATATTTATATGAAACATGATAAATATGCTTGAAGAAATGAATATCTATATAAATAAGCTGGGATTATATTAAGGAAAAAGGTTTCGTATCAAGCTACATTTTAACAAAGGCAAACAAAAATATTACTTTAAAAAAATCGTTGCATAATAATTTAATTTAATTTTTATGAAATAACTTATTGGAAATGTTTTCATTGAACAGTGCTTTTTGGTGCAGATCTAAAAAGAAATAAATCAATGGAAGTCTAAGCCAAATCTATTCGATTCTGCGTCGCACCGGAATCTATAACACTTGGACACCCCATCGATCCCAGCTCAAACCTCTCTCTCAGTTGGCATATTTATTTTCACCCACTTCTCATGTGATGCTCACTTTCTGGTATCCTTTTGCGCCTTGTGGTGCGCCTCCAAGCCTTCGGATAGGCTCTGCAACAAGTTGACCGGAATTAGCTCGGAGCTGGAACGGCCGCTGCCGCCAAACCATTGCACCCACACGTGATCGAACTGTTGCGATGGTGTACAGACACCGTCGGGCATCTTGACTATCTTGCCTGGCCAGGCGGGGTGTCCACGTGCCGGCCCCCAGATCAGCTCACCAATGGCAAATGTTCGCGGTGGCAACAGTGCCACAGTGCCAGTTGGCGAATTTCTCACCAACGTGCGGTGTGGTCGACGTGCCCGTTTGGTGGGCGTGCGGCAGGTGGTTTTGAGTGGTGCCGCTTCATTGAGCGGTGGTTCATCCGAAATGGTCGGCAGCTGCGTTGTGGTGGGCGACTCTACATAGAGATTTGGAGGCAGCGGCTTGGTTAATGTAGCCGATACTCAATACTCGATACCCATTACCCAACACCCGATACCCGTTACCCGATACCCGGCGGTAGACGAAACAGAACAGAAAGCATACAACAAAAGCAGAGTGCAGAGGGATGCGTGGGGTGCGACAAGTGCTTGGACATGCATCAGGTGTGTGAGTGATCGGTGGCGGTGACGGTGACGGTGGTGGTGGTGGTGGTGGTGGTGTGGGTCAGTTAGTGAGTGAATGGATGCAGTTAGTGGTTGCTGATGGCATTAGGACACTGGCAAGGCCTTACCCTGGTATTCAACGCTAACTACTTTCTGATTATGGATAAAGACGCTGTGGTGGCTGTTCGAGGTTGGTGGCTGGGGCTGGTGCGGATGCTGGTGCTGGTGCATGGCTTGGCGACCCGATGCCGCCGTTGTTATTGATGGTGTTGACAATGAAGCTGACGATGATGATGAGATGGACAGGGCTGTGGAGCTAGCCAAACGCATACCTTGACCCATAAGACCCACAGAGTGGTTGCTCTCTGTCGGCGTCGCCGTCGTCATCGGCTGCGACGTTATGTGGATACGCCGAATTTTGGGCTCCGAGGGCTTATACATGCTGCCAGGCTGGCTAAACAAGTTACTGCTGCAGATGCCTGGGAAGGTGACAAGGGATTTAATCAATGAACTGTTATGGATAACTAAATGAAGTACTCACTCCTCTCGCAATCCGTGGAAGAGGGCGACTGGCGGCTATCAGCACTCTGTGGCGAGATGGCCGCATCAGGCTCCGAGCTGGAGACGCACTGCACCTGAAAAACAACGAGAATTAATATAAATGGAAGATCCTAATTGGAATCACAGCTATGCTGACTGACCATGTCGCCGCTGCCGCTGCTGCGATGGCTGGGCGGTCGCTCAGGACTGCGCGGACTGCAAGTGGTGGTATCCGGCGGACTGGCGGCGGTTGCCTGGCGACTATTATGCGACTCCGAGACGAAACTGGTCGCCTGGGGTGGTTGCAGGCTAATATGCTGCTGTGGCTGCGGCTGCTGCTGAATCTGTATGGTTGCCGTAGGACTGGCCTGCACAAAGGATGCGCCGTTCTGCTGAGCTGTGGGCATAACCAGGCCCATGGGCGTCGAATAGATCTGGCCAATGGGACTGAGCTGTCCATTGGCGCCCACTATATACTGCTGGCCACCGCCGCTGGGCGAGATGAAGGAGGGTTTGTTCTGTGGCGAGGGTGTGCGCAGCATCACCGGGCCCTGGTGCGTCAGCAGACTTGTCGTGGGCATATTTTGTATCTGCAACAGGGTTGCGTCCGGGCCCATGACCAGGCCGGCGGGCATAAGTAGCTGCTGTCCAATAAGATTCACCTGCTGCAGTATTTGTCCGTTCTGTAGCAGCAGCTGCTGCGTCTGAGGCGCCGCCGTCGCTGGTTTGTTGACCACAATGCCTTGGATGCCCGGACTCAGCTGGAATTGCTGCGAGAATTGCGGCGGGGGCGCCGTAGCTGCAACTGCCGCGGCATTTGCCGCTTGCTGCAGCAGCGCTGGCGCCTGGCTGGGTATGCTGGGTGAGATCTGTGGCGAATGCGCCTTTGCCGGCGAGCCGTTAACACCACACACCAGCGGCGGCGGCGGCGGTGTGCTGCACACAGAGCTTTTGCGTTTACGTGTCCGCCGCTTGGCCTCGGGCGAGGTAATAATATGCGTGGCTGGCTGTGGCATACCCAGCAGCTGATGTTGCTCCTGATGCTGCTGTGGATGTTGCTGCTGCTGCTGCTGCTGGTGGTGGACGATGTAGCCGCCATTGGGCAATGTGTTGAGCAGCACAGTCTGTGGCGCCGCCGCGGTGCCTGCCTGGCTGATCTGACTTATTTGGCTGGCCTGCGAGCTGATTATCTGATGATGCAGCAGCTTGGCCCCGTTGGTGTTAAGCATCGGCGAGGATTGGCTAACAATGTAACCGCCGCCAGGCTGGGCGTGCAGCTGTGCTGTCTGCGCCTGCCGCTGCGACTGTGGACCGCTTGCCTGCTGCTTACTGGCCGAGGGTATGACCAGCAGTTGGCCGGATGAAGTCATGATCAGCTGGTTGCCGCCAGCGTTGCTCGCCATCGACTGCAGGTGAGCCACGGCGGAGTTGGCGCTGCTCAGCGTGGTGCCTGGTCGACTGATTCCCGCCGTGGTCGTGACAATACTTCTTGTGAGCGTAGTTGTTCCATTAATGGCCACCGACTGGCGTTGACCCGCACCCACCACGGGCTGACACTGTTGACGCATCAGACGCAACTGTGCTGTGGGCTGTGCCGTTGCCTGTGCTTGGACCTGGGGCTGGCGCATCTGCATCTGCATCTGCTGCGCCTGCTGGGGCTTTGGCGAGGCGGAGGGCGTACTCTTGGCCGAGTCTATAGAGTCCGTGGGCGAAGAGAGGCTGTGGCGTGGGCTCTCGTGGCTGGTCGAGATGGCGCCCACTTGCTCGGGCCGCTTCTCTGCCTCGGGCCCGCTGCTGGACACTGGCGACTCCTGTGGCGCTGGCACCACTGTTATGCTGGTGATTTGAGGCTTCTGTGGGCGTGCAAATGCAGCTGCCGTATCGACGTGCAGCGAGCGTGGCACAGGGCTAGACGCTGCGCTCGGCTCCTGCTCCACTTTGCCGCCGGCAAAGAGCGAGAGACGGCGTAAGCGCTCCCGCTGCTGCTGCTGCTGATTCTGGGAACTATGCACAATGGGCTCCTGGGGCAGAGCTCTGGCCGTGGCCGTTGCCGTGGAAGTAGCCGTGACAGGCTTAGCATCTAAGCCCACGCCCAGCGTATTATGCAGCAGCGTTGTTTGCTGTTGCATATAGCCCGCGGGATCATCCTTGAAGTTGGGCTGCTGGGCTAACGGAAGAGGAGCAGGGTTAGACGCGGTTGTCGCGGGCTTTATCACATGCGTTGGGGCAGCTGTTACTGCAGCTGTTACTGGAAGAGGAGCAGGAGCTGTTCGCTTTGGCGCGCTGTCCATGCCAGTTGCTTGACTAGTTTGCATCACGGTCGCTGCTGTGCACATGGGCGTGGCTGCGACTGGAACTGTTGCTGCATATGATGTCCTGCAAGCCAGTTTATAGTTGTTGTTGTTGCCATACTTGAGGCAATCAGCGTCTGAAATGTAGCAACAGTTCAAAGGGAAAATTCAGTAAAGATTGCGAGTGTCTCGTTGCTTATGCAAAGTGCGTCGTCCTTAAAGTGCCCGCAACGTGTCCCCCAGCAAGCAAAGGGCGTTCTGCAAAGGTCGCCACTTGCCACTTGCCACTTGACGAAAACAGACAACAAAAAGCGCCAAATGCCAAATGGCTGCGAAAGCGAAGCACAATAAAATCAAAACACGAAAACGTGCACCGCAAACTTATGAGCGGGCATCTGGAAGGGGCCTAAAGAATTGTTCTAGAAATAGCTGTGGGGAAGCAAGGTTCAGATGGTTTAGCGCTGAGATAATGGCAAATTTAATTAAAATGCGAAATAAAAAGGACAAACACTTCGCTGCGACCATTACCTGCCACATTTAGAAAATCTCAAAATGCTTTAAAGTGAAAAAAAAAAAAACAACGATTTAATGTTCTTTGGAACATGAAATTCCCTTGCAGATATATAGCATTCATACAATAACTAAATTATTGACCGATTTTATATATAAGAGCCGATGTTGAAAGCAATATGGACTCAAATTGCTGAACAATTGCTTCAGTTCCAGCTATATATTTATATCGGTTCAATCCAGACGACTCCGAAATACACAGTTACCATCTTCATAGGAAATACAAATGATTTTATCACGATTGCTTTAAAACTCAGGGACAGACATAAAGTCTTTGTGTCATGCATTTTATGACAAGGGTATTAGAAAAAAAGTTTTCTACTTTGTCGTAATTCGTTTTTAGCTTAATAGGAGTTCTAACAATTATATACCCTTTCATTCAAGATAAAATTCTTATATCTAACATTTCATTTATTCGAGCAAAGTACAATGCCTCAGAAAGTTTTCAACGAAAAGCACAAGAATGCATTTAAGTCGAAGACTACATAAGCCTAACCCAATCTCAATTTAGCTTTATAATGTAATAACTATATTAAATAAAGGGCGACTAACTGGGCGCTCTGCAAGTCCAACCCTGTGGACACCCTCCCCCCCCTTCCCACTCACATGCAAACACTCGTGTAAGCCGCAGTCGCGAAAATTTCTAAAACGCAGCAAACTTTTGCTTCGCGCCGCAATTTGAATGCCCCCTCCCCGCTGTCCCAGCTGCAGGGCAGAGAATGCCTTGCGCCCCTTGGCCAGTTGGCTGGCTTTTGCGTGGGCGTGGCTGATGGGCAGATCGCAACGGACGCGCATGGCTAAACTTTGCCGTCAAGTCCCTTTTGTTTCAATTAACCTTTTCATTTGAAAGTTTTAACAATGTTTGCCCAGCTGCCGAGCACCGTTGCGCCCAGAACCATGCATAAATGAACCCCCGCCTGCCCCGTGGGTGGTCAACCGCCACAGCACCACCTTCTGTGCAGCAAAGTGTTAGCCCCACGGGGCAGAGGGTGGCAAGCGCTTAAAGGTGACCCCAAACGCATTTAAAATCCCTTTTTTTTTTGGTGCGTGTGACTTGCTTTGCGTCTCCTGCAAAGCGGCAACAGTTTTGTCGTATCTCAAATTGAAATCCAAATGCGTTGAATGCCACAAAGGCGGAATTGAAAGCCAGACGTTATATCAAAAGGGCGCAGGAGACCAAATGGATTTATTCTACGGGGCTGACCCTTAACTAGAACAAACACTCAGGGATAGTTTATAAAAAAACCGTACTTTAAATTGCAGCGAGTTTGTTATTAGTTTAGTTATTCTACCGATTTCAATTGAAAATTGTTTTTATAGCTACTTAAGCGATTTGGTGTATACAAATTACTGTGTTTGTTCTGTGTAAGCGATATTTGTTCAGCAGTAAAAAGTTTTTAAGCCCTAAACCCATTTAAAATTGGTAAAAAGGGTATAATGTTTTTGTGCAAGTGTATGTAACAGGGAATGAAGTATCTCCAACCGAAGTGTACATATTCTTGGTCAGCATCAATAGCCGAGACAATCTAGAACGAAGGTCCTCTAGAACGTAGGTCATCCCAGTGCCAGCGCAGTCCGATAATCTATAACTTGCCCCGTGTGCAAAAATCGATAAAAAAAAAAGATATCGAAATCCTGTTTTTGGCTAGTCATCAAATTTGACATGTAGCTTCTAGAATAGTATCAAATTCACTTTAAAGAAAGCGTCCCCCCCCCCCTCCCCTCCCCACTTACACGGATCGCATTTGGTGTTGGCAGAAGAAGGTGCAGGATATCCCTTTGTCGGACAAACCCCAACTAGAGTACTTTTACTTGTTATTTATAATAATTCAGAGGGACATTTTCTTTTTACAGAACTGTCCAACATTTTATTCAATTACTCTCTGAATCGTAATTGCAAACTTTTTTATAATTACTCAAGTACTTAGATGTAATTAATTTATTAAAGGTACAAATTATATTCCTTTGCAGAGCTAACACACTTGCCTTGATTAAACAATCTTATTGTAATTGCAAACTGTTGTTTAATTACTTTAGTAATTTATTAAAGCTTATTTTTCTCTAGTCAATTGGATTCATAATTGTAATTGCGAACTTGTTTGCAATTACTCAACTAATTAAATATTTTCATTTTTTTTTTATTTTGCCAAAATTATCAATTACATTACTTTACATGGCTGTCGAGCAACGCCCTAGCAACCGCCCTTAGACAGCACTAGAAACTTTTAACACGGATTTGGGCAATAAAAATGCTGTTTAAAGTTTCTAGCCACTTTCGTTAGGCACTTTGTGGCCTAAACTCGTACAGTTAGCACTGGTTGCCAGAAACTTTGCCCTGCCAATGCCCCCGCCCCTGACCATTGCCGGCCACGACTGACTGCTGCGGGCGCTCTGAAGTGGAAATGTTAAACAGTTGAGGGTATTTAATAAACATAATATTTATGTTTACAAATGCCCAGATCCATGCAGCTGCCCTGAGCTATACGGCAGATGAGGCGACATTCCTGAACGGGCTTTTGACTGCACAAACATGTTCAGGTCCTTTGACAGGCGCACACAAAGGACTGAGTAAACACACGAACACACACACGCACACGCACACGCACACAAAGGCCAACAGAAAAGCAAACAAACAGCGGGCGGAAAAAAAACATGACGCAAGCCAATGCAAGGAGAGTGGTGCCGGGGGGGTGGGGCAGCTGCAAGTGCACTTGCTGTCAAGGCAACGCTGTTGCCACGCCTACGTCCTCAAAGCGCTGATGCTTAAAGCTTGTTGAACTCGCCAATCCATTTGTGTTTTTCTTTTGCTTTGCTTTTAACATGTATGCGTATCATCCTTTTTGCAATACTATGCCCTATCTCTCTCCATATTCCATCCTCTGCATCTATCTATATCCCTTTCTCTCTCTCCCTATCCCTTTCTTTCACTTGCAATGTGTGCTTTTTCACTTTATCATTGTCTAGGCAGTGTTTTCCACTTGCCAGCATGCCAAGCACATTCCAATTGCATCCGTTATGCATGTGTGCATGTGTGTGTGTGTGTGTGTGCCTGTCTGCTTGTGTGTGTGTGTGTGTACGTGTGGATAGGTATGCGCATATGTACATGGAATTGTTTGTTTGCACCGTGTGCTTTTGGCTCCTGCTGTGCTGCCTTTCGCGAGGTTTGCTTTACTTTTCTCGGCCTCGCCTGCACTTATCGCACGTATCTACACTATTTTCAACTGTTCTTCTCTACCCGCCCCGCCCCTTGTCAATCCCTACTTTCTCTCGAGGTTGACGTCGTTTTCGAGCAAAATATGCAGTTCTCACAATTCTTTTGCTTTAGCATACTTTAGTGCGCAGCAAAGGCTCTGCCACCGCTGGCAACGTTTGCCGTTGCCCATTTTGCCAGGGTTGTCATGGCATTGAAATTTCAATGCACACTATAATTAGCAGGATTTGTATAGGACAGCTTAACGTTTTTTTTTTTTTTTTTTTTGCCTGTTGCAGTCTTTACAAAAGTTAGTATGTTAAAGTGTACTATTTTATATCCTTAGTATTATAATTTTATCATGAAATGTTTAATGCATGGAAGAAGACATTTCCGACCCCATACAAAATATATATATATTTGGCTGCATTCTTGTTCTTTAGTTTCCGACATTTCATTAACGATATTTTAAATCGATATATTTTAAATCTCTTTCTCTAGGTCAAAAGAACGTTCAGCTTTAACGCTATAATGTATATTGTTTGCATGTAGATATTTTCTAGAAGAAATACTTATTCTGTAATTATTTGATTATTGTTGTGCAAACAAAGGCCTATGCTCGTTGAATTGAAAACCAAGGTTAACAAACTAAAGTTAAAGACTCTTAATTTATTTTAAGTGTTTAGCCAAGTTAGAAAATGTGTCATATTTAGAAAAATTATCTTAACACATACAACAATCTTTAACTAGGTGTATGATACTGACAAACACAAGACCAGTTAACTAATTATGATTATTTAAGGCTCCTTGATTTTCTGTTGAAGCTATTTCCAGTTAAGTCTATCAAGGACTCTGTACTTGCGTAATTATGCATCAAAGACAATATCTAATGAAGGAACAAGGCTTTGTATTTAATTATACATTTGGCACTGTGCCAACCCTATTTAGTCCAGAACTAAGCTTAAATATAGTGTCGTTTGTCCTGCGCTGCTTCTTGTTGTTATTGCTTATCGTTGATTAAAGTTGGTCTACAAAATTTTTAGCTGTCAGCTCAGAGTGCGCACTCACCTTTGTTGGCCAGTTCAAGAGTTGTTGCCGTTGTTGCAGTTGCTGGCGTTGTCGTCGTCGTTGTTGTGGCTGTTGTTGTTGTTGTTGAAGCTGCTGTTGCTGTTGTCATCAGCGCAGTAAACGCATCGCCAACAGTGACAGCAGCTGTTGATGCTGCAGTTGCTGCTGTTGCTGCTGTCACCGACATTGTTGCCATCATTAAATCCTTGACGGGCTGCGGATTGTGCAGCTTCTCCGATTCGAGCAAATGCCGTTGATGCGAGCAGAGCGGCGTGGTTGTCGCATTTACGGTCTCCTGGCCGCTACCTGGCGACACCTTTAATGGCATGTTGGGCACCTGCAATTAACATAATGCAACAAATTGCCACATTAGCAATTAGAATTCAACAGCTCTGCGATAATGGATTGTGGCGCCGTCGACAACGCATTTGCGATTCTTGCTGTCAATTTAAAATCGAAATTTTAATCACACACACACGGGCACATACACACACAGCTGGGATATACATAGACTTGGGTGCTGCTATTAATTTACATATAAAACGTGAGTCGCATTGGCAAAAACTCAACAAACGCCCCACCGAAGTTTGCCGTCCAACGACGTCCAATACGACGCTTCTTATACCCTAGAGTTATATGATAGACGGGTGCTTTTAGTTTCCTTAATCATTTTATTTAGTCTGAAAAGTTTCTTTATACAATTGAGCCCAGCAATTATAGTCAAATACTAGCTTTGCACTAGTTATCAATTTTATATCCTTTACTCTTAACAGCATGTCAAGATTGTGCAGTCTTTTGGGTTTGAAAAATATACAAAAACAGAAAAATATAGCCTGAGTCGGCCTTAAGCTACGAATGCTTCACAATGTACACATCTATATACATATATAGATCACTTTTTGTTATTCATGCTTCTAAAGTTTAAATGTAATTCAATCTTATAAGATCAAATACAAAATTCTCAGCCGAGAAATGTTTACTAAGAAAAAATATAGGGTATTGCTAAGGCGTGAGCTCAACTAAATGTTGTTCAGTTGTTTGTTTTGCTTTGGTAACCTTCAGCACACAAAATGCAGTATAAACAAACACACAAACACAAACACGCACACACACAGTCGCAAGGCAGCTCGGAGCAATCGTCCAATTAGCATTTTTGTAAGTAGATACCTGAGACAGACCCAATCGAGTATACCGAACACATGTAATCCAATCAGATGCTGCAAATTGCGCTTATTGAGTACATCAAAAGATTTGATGGCGCCATAGCAACGCCCCATCTGCCCCCCCTCCACCCATCCCCACATACAGGTGCACAAGGCTAGGAATTTATGCAAATTAGTCATTTGGGGGCATCGATTTGCACGCCTCGAAGCATGACTGCGACCCTTTTTTGGGTCTGGCCGCGCCTTTTGTGTCATTTCAATCAGTGGACGGCAATTGCTTCATTGGCCGCTTAAGCGCTGGAAACGAGTCTCTACCAATTTGGTCAACAATTTGCGCAAAAGCACTCGCAACGAATAAACGAACGTACCCAAGTGAAAATTCCATAGTCCAAACTTGGATAAAAAATACATTAAAACGTTTAGCTAGAAGCAGCGAAAAACAAGTGAGAATATTGCAGCCGGATGCAACCGACTGCACTAATACTCGCTCACGGTCTAAAAACAGATTGGCACTGATGTACTTTTGGATGGGTCTTTAGAGGAGCTAATCAGAAGTCTTCAATTAAGACTAGGATCAAAACTACAAGAAGGTATAGAGTCTACGAATTTGCCACGCGCCAAATGCGAGTAAAAATTTAATCAAAATCTAATCTAACACCCGTATCCACTCGCATATGTGGAAAAATCGTGAAAAATGTTTATTTGGAACTTTTTTGTTATTTTCAAAGAAATTTGTCAAAATTCATCTGATGGGTGTTTCGCACTTTTTGAAAAATCCATCCCTTCAAGGATCTATATGCAAAATCATTTGAGACGTGTTTCACATTTTTCGCAAAACAAATGCTTCCTCGGTTCAAAGTGCGATTCAAAGATACTTTTGGTGAAGTTTTAAGTTTTGTCCAATTTGCTTCAAACTTATTTTCAAAGCTCTACATAAGAACTTAATGAATACCTGCTTCAGCGATTTGGGAAATTTCACCCGCAACAGTGATAAATTGGCGGAAAATGGTTGTAGTTTTTTGTTTACCGTCCGATTGGTTTCAAACTCATTTTCAAAGATCTTTGAAAGCATTTATTTTATACGTGCCACGGGCGAGGTCAGGGTATACCCGCTAGTATGTATATATATCTATGCTTTTTAGGGACACTGCTGGATGAGCAGTAGGACGCAGATTGCACAAAACTAATATACTCATTTCACTTTGTGAACGTGCATAGGAACCGATGTGCTCTTGCCTTAAAAGTCGATTGTAACTGCATAACATCTACAAATGATGGGAACAAAAGCTGCTCAAGAAATCAGAAATCCATTAAACTTTCCGCAATGATTCAACTCGGTTCCCTCGCTAACAACTCACTCAAGTGTATGCCACAAATTTTCCTAATAAAGACACTCAATTCATAGTCAACTTAAGAGCTGCAAATACATTTATCTATCTCGAGGCGGCACACATTGAAGATTATTAATTTGCCACGCCCAAGCCAGATAGGCATTATACAAATTCTCTTGGGCGTTTCCAATCTCCAGTCCCGAATATTCAATTCCCAGTGGATGACTTCACCCAAACGACCCTCAACCCAGACGCTTGTTGTTGTTGTCTCTGCTCTGTATTTTCATATTTCAGTTGCTGCTGTGGCTTTTCATATTGCCGTTGTTGCGGCTGCTATTGCCACTTAGTCAGAAGGCGGACGACTGCCTTACAAAGGCTGCCACAAAAAGCAAATATAATTTCGCAATAAACCCAAACCAACTTCTTGCCCTCCTCCCGTTCCCCGTGCGTCGCCTAGACAATGAGCTTTCGGGTTGCTGCCCAAACCTCAGAACCGACTCTTCCTTCTAACCCAACCTCCCGCCCTCCCCCCATGCATTCCCCTAATTCAAGCATACGCAAATACGTTATGTGGCAAATTTTGCATTTGCAACAGGGTCCTCGTTTTGGGAGTCCAACTGTCAGCTTTGTAAATAATATGACATGCGAAATGCAGCACAGGCAGAATCCTCTCACATAGCAGCCGAGTCCTGGTCCCATACCCAAGTTGGACTGGGAATTTAAATGCGAGCCATTGTGAAATTTTTACAAAATAATATATACGCGATAATTTAAATGTCATTAAATGGAAAAATAATTTGTTGGCAAAAGCCATGCATGTTGCAGCAGGAACAAAAACAGGGAGCTGAAAAGCTGCATTACGGTTAACCATATCATTCAATAATCCAATATTTATTATTATGCCGATTTCTGCTGAAGATCATGCACTATCAAAGGACATAAGCCGACTATAAAAATATCCAGATAAAAATTCCAAATAAATTTGGGGGTAAGGCCAAAATTAATATGACATTTCGCATAAAATAATTTCAGTTTCGGCAAAGATTCAATTCCTGCAAAGATGACAAATCCTGTTAACATTTCATTCCCAAATATGAGATAGATATAAATATCAATCTAGAGGTAAGATCGGGATAGAAATTATATCAATAATGAAAATCCAAGAAAAGACAAGTTTAAATATTCCATAAAATAATATAAAGTTTTAATTATTTAATATTTTATATTTTGGCAACAGCAAAATATTATTTTGAAGTAAGAATTTAAGAAGCAGCTGAAATCCTTTGGATTAAACAATCTTAAAATATAATAAAATACATAAAACAAGTTTAGTTTTAATAAATTGAAGGAAAGGCTAGTTAACATTTACAATAAATTTTGAAATATTTGTAATCAAAAGTTCATTATGCCTTGTTTCACAATTGCTCTGGATACAGGGTATAGAGACAGGGAGTGTAATTAATTAATACATGTATAATTATACATTATCCTTATGTATAGTCTTGTTTACTGTGCGAATACATAAAAAGTTATGTGTGTTTACAGATGGCATGTTCAAAATGCATTTTGCATATATTTGACATATTAACTGTCGCTGTTTTTGACAGAAATGAGTGGAAGGGAGCGAGATGAGCGGGGGAAGGCAGCCAGGAGACAGGGGACAAGGGACACGCCTATGTGAAACACGCAATAAAATGCCAAACGACAGAGGCAAAAATACCAACAAAACATTGCACTTTTGCATGCATAATTGCGACGAAATTAAAGCAAAATGTGCAGACAGCGGGGGGATTGGAAGAAAGGAGTGAGACCTGGTCGGTCTCTATAATGGTGGTGGCCAGCGTTGGGCAGGTGTGAAGCTTGTGCACAGGTGCATGGCCGGTGTTGGATTTCATTAACATCATAATGACCGTCGAGCGCTCGACGCCAGACGTCCGACAGCGTTAATCCTGGCCGTTGCACAACAATGAGGTGGTCGCATGTAGACACTGACGCCTTCTTCGTTGCAGCATAAACTCGCACCCGCCGCCCCCCTCCCCCCTTCCCCCTCCACCCTTCTCATCGAGCACACACCAGCAATTTTTCTTTAGTTGCAGCTGACGCTTTTACTCTTACTGTGGTGCATTTGAGCGCACTCGCGACAGGAACTTGTGGCACTGCCGGATGTGAGTAATCGCTCAGTCACGTCGACATCGTGGCCAACGTTGCGTTGCTGCGTTGCCGTTATCCTGCAGGACATTGCTGTGCTCCAAGATTTCCGTGCCGCACTGGACACTATGCCATGCATGACGTAACCCGCAACGGAAATCGCTTTGCTCGCATGCAATGTCCTGCTTAATGGACGCCAACGAGGAGCAGTCGCAGCAGCGGGAGAAGGAGAAGGAGGCATGTTCCAAGCTTGCAGCATTTCTGTGTGTAGCTAGCTGGAAAAAGTTGGAATTTTCCAATCAAAACAGCAGATTTAAGTGAATTCCTGTATTCGCCAGAAAATGCAACTTGTTCAGAACATTTGCTTTGTCTTTAGTGTCTTCAATCTTTACCTTTGACCTTCTGTTTCCGTATTATTTTCTACCTTTCTGCAGTATTCACTTAACTAAACTTTTTTCATGTCTTCCGTCTTGCCTCGAAGTCAACGGAAAATGGATGGGTTTCTGCAGCTCGAGCCCATCTGTGGCAACATACAGATCATGGCGTACTGCAGCACGTCTGTCGGGGCACAGCTCATTTGACTTCTTTGGCTCCACGCCCTTTCCCTCGTAATGCCACGCTGTCTGCTCTTGGCGCGTACAACATTTAATTTGGACTAATGAAGTTTCTATAAAAACCCGCGTAAGTGACTGGCAAGGAAAAGGCGATGCGCCAACCGTGGCAAGCGAAACAAAGCAAACCAAGCTGAACAGCAGTAAAAACGATTCCAACTCGAACCTCAGCCAGAAATTCAATTTTGGCCAAAAGTGAACCTGAAATTTGCGCGGCAATTGCTCTTCCTGCTTGCTTGCAATTGGAGTGACGTGCAAATTGTACCAAAAACAGAAATGGGGAAAAACAGCAGCAAGCAATGCGTTAAAATTGCCATGCCAGTCCCATCACTCCCAGAGATACCCTGCAAATAATAGATTTGAAGTGCATGCTTGACTAAGCACTAGATATGATTTTACTCAGCATTTTTAGTTGCTGCCATAAAGAGGATACCAAAAACGAACTAAACAATTGAAATGGAAATGCTTTGGCTTAGATTGCAGCATACCCAATTGTGTGCTTTGTGCTGGGTATGCGAGCACAACTGACACATCGCCTCGGCCCACCTGCCGTCGCTGGCCCAGCGCTAATTGTTTTAGTTGTTGTTCCATGAATATGCTAAATTGTCTGCTGCGTTTTGCGTCAACCCGTTTCTGCACGTTCCGCCCCGGCAATCTCTCACCATGCTGTTCGTTCAGCAAATGTTTATAAATGCAAATTGGCCGAAAAGTGCAGCAGCAGCAACAGCAGCAGCAGGAGGAACGACACCGACAGCGTCACTTTCTGAACGTGCTTGGTTAAATTTTGTGTTGTGGGTCCTAAGAGAGCGGGGCGCGCGGCCGTGCGGGCGGACAGGAGCATGGTTAAATGACTAAAGCGCTTCACTGGGATTGACTGCAGCTCACTTTCGGTTTCGGACAGGCACTGGCCAGACAAGTGCTACCAACTTGCCAACTTGGCCCTGACATCTCATGCCATCGTGGGGATGATGTGGGGCAACGGGCAGCCTTCACGCTCAAGAAAGACAACCAGCTTAGTCGTTGGAAATCAAACTTGGGCGCAGGGCCATTTAAATAGCATCATTTTGACTTTTGTGGCTTGTGTTTGTTTGTGTGTGTGTGTGTCTCGCAAGCAGCCGCAACAACAACAACAATTCCCATTGCGTTTTAATTTTTGCTTTTATTTTTATTGAGAGCTGTAAATTTTGAGCTGCCGTCGACGTTCGGCGCTGACCTTCTCAAGTTTGTTTGCTTATTGTTTCAGATGTTGTTGTTGTTGTTTCTGTTGTCCGTTTGCATTGAGCTTGCGTCAAGCTGACGCACTAACTGACAGACTTACAGACAGCTAAAGCGATCTGAGGCCGGGGCCAAAGTTTTATTTGTTTGTTCAACTTGCGTTACACACATTGCGTTCAACGTGCTCAAAATAGAACCCAGTGGAATACTTAAGGTATATATAGATGTATATGCACATATATATATTTATATATAAATATACATACATATATACTTATGTACTCTTCAAGTCAGCTGGGGCAAAATCAATTTCAATTGTTTCGCACTTATCGGAAAGGCGCAGCATTTCGTTTTTCGTGTGCACTTTGCGTTCCGATTGGAAATTTCAATTGCAAATAATTGTTTAATTAGCGTCAATTGCAGTTCAGCTATGTGAGTATAAGCTGTATGCATGTGTGTGTGATTTGTGTGGGAGATACAGAACACGTTCGAAGGGCAATAAAGTTGTTGAGTTGATCGAATCAGGAACTTGTGTGTGTTTATTTCTGCTGAATATTTAACGAATTAAGTATACGCAGTGAATATTGCGCATACGACATGTTGAACAGCAATAAATTATACGCAAACAGTAATCAAACAGTAACAAAAGTTATATACGCATTTGGGTGTGTTTGTGTTAGCAGTTGCGCATACCAAAGCAATGCCCATTAAATAGACCAATATATATTATTAGGTCAAAAATATATATACATGTGCATATCTCTGTAAACATATTACTCTATGTATATTTAAGTTCTTTTATACTTTACGCCAACCAAGCATACTTTCCGTTAATGGGGAAAAAAACGGGTTTTTATTTAATTTTGGCCTTCTATGCGATTCTCACAAATTCAACTAAGCGAGGTTTTCCCAGATTGATTATAAGTCGTATTTTAACAATTTGTTTTAGCAATTTAATAAACATTATCTATATTCGCTGTTCTTCTTACACTCCAATTCTAATTTTCTCTTTGATTCTTATATCTCTGTGATTCTTATATCTATATGTGTGTATGTTCAAATTTACATATATTTAGTTATTACTAAGAATATATATTAAGGCAATTCAGACCTATATAGATATTTGAATTACTAATACATATATTATTTATGCTTTTATTATTTTCTTAACATCAAAACTGACTTATTTGTCATGCCAAGACGATTATTTCAACTGTCACTACTTTATAATAGCCTCTTAAATCTATAATATAACTATCTACAAGTTTAAATAGGTTTAGCTGAGCTTATCTTTCAGTTTTGATTCAACGTTGACTAAGCCGTAATTAGCAGGTATAACCAAATAAATATTTGTTAAAGTACTTTCCAATAGCAGTTAACTAAGTCACTCGAGCTTCAGCTTCAGTCTATATATATTATACATGCACATACATAAATGTAAAGAGATCTGGACTAGTATATCATAATTTGAAGCACAAACTCCGAACATGTCTAATGCGCCGTAACGCTGGCGCCTATGAGTGTGACACTCGAGTGGCGACTTTCACCCAACAACCAAGAAACAATCCCTAACCTACCACACCTCGTTGCCTGAGACACAAAGGCAACTTAAGCGACAGCAAAATGGCTATAATCAAAACAAAAAAGCGAACAAACCAATAAACAAGCGTAGACTTCATTATGAAGGCACATCAATCATTGCCAAAACGCGATTCCAAAGCGCCTAGAGGGGTATGATGCCAGAGGGGCGGGACGGGGAGGACTGAACGTCCAGACATTAGGTGAATGTGCTGCCAAGAGACGTCGACAAGAGCACAAGAGCTGCAAAAAGAAAAAGCACAGTTGCCATTTTGCCACAACGATGTGCAGATACACAGACCTAACTAGGGAGAGAGAATGACAAAGGGAAGTGGCGAGCGAGAAGCAAAAGAGAGAGTGAGAGGGGGAGAGAGATCTGCAGCTGGAGCCAAGACAGTCAACGACTTTGTGGTCAGCCTGGTGTGGCGAGGGGCGAGAGGCTGCAGGAGGGCTTCTTCGGTGGCACAATAAAGTGTTTAGTAAACAAATTGCGGCTGCCTTTTGATAATATGCACGCAGTCAGCTGAGCAGCTGCAGCGCAGGCTGTAAGTCACACAAGAGGGGCGAAGCTAGAGCGGGGAGTGGCAATGAGGATAAGTTATAAGTGCATTGCACCGAAAAATCGATTGACGAAAGCCACAAAGAAGACAAGAGCGACACTGGGGGGGAGAGTGATGTGAAAATGTGTGGTTTAGAAAGGTTTAGGTAATGCATGTGTGTGTGTTTGTGTGTAAGTCGATGCAAAGGACATTGATTGTGTGCGGGCGGACAGAAGTGCGAACAGACGGACAGGCGTTGGCGCCGACGTCACGCAAAAACCAAAGAGAAAACCATAAACTTAAATTAATGACCTCAGTTGAGGCGCAGCTGAGTGGCGAGGACCGGGACTGGGTGCAAGCAAAACGAAAAGTCAATAAGAGCAAGAGGCAGACCAGAGCAAGAGCCAGAAAAAGATGAAGACAAAGAAATTGTGGAAGAAGCAGAGCGCCTGCACATAGTGTTATTGTACTGTGTATGTGATTTACCGTTGCAGTTGCGCTGCTCCAATTGGAAATGTATCTTATTGCTGGCGATTTCACTGCGATTCTCAATATACACACACACACACACCAAGATGAAAATGCTTGTCAATCCGGAGCAAGACGGCGGCGGCAGATGGTCGCCCATTTTGAGCGCTCAAAGCTGGCTAAATGATTATGCAGTCGACGTCGACGTCGACGTTGACGTCGACATAGCCGATTTGTTGTCAAACTGGTTTTACAAATATTTTGCGTTCATCTGTTGCCCAAGCGGTGGGGTATATGTGTGTGTGTGTGTGTGTATATATAAAGCCATGCGGCAGTTACATGGCTGCAACGCTTAGTGAAAGTCGCTTGAATGCCGTTTTCTGTGTGCCCCTACCGCTGCCCCTACCACTGCCCCTGCCTAGACTTCATTGCTAGTTAGCTCAATGCGCATTCAATTAGGTTTAGCTCAGGCTTTAGACTTTGGCTGCCAGCTAACCCAGCTGGTATTTACAGACAATTATGAGACAAACTAGTTGGATTTGCTGCTGACTTACCTGCGCATTAAAATCGAAAAAGTATTCCGGCCTCAGCGGACACGGCAGGCCGCATTTGCAGGTACCCTGTGTTAGCAAATAGTCCTTGATTTGGAATTGTGTGCGCAGCGTTTTGCCTGTTGGACTGCAATAAAAATAGTAACCATTCATAAGTAGTGAAGGTGGTGTGCGTGGAAATTTATGTTATTCATTATTTATTAGTTAATAGCACAATTTGTTGTATGTAAATGCCAATTACAAAGTCGTCAGCAATAGCTTAAGTGTGGCCCAACTAACCCGCCCCAGCAGGCAATTAACCCCAACCATGCCAACAGTTAACAGAGTGCAAAGGCTGCACGAGCAACACGCGGCTGTTTAACTAACAGCTCATTAACATAATGGGCAAGTGACGCGCCCGTTCGCATTAACATGACAATGTTAAACGATAGTTGGCAACGCTCGCATATTCTTACATGTCTGCATATGTGTGCGTGTGTTTTGGTGTGTATGTATGTGAGCACATACATAAATTAATACCAATCAGAATTGTTCGCTGTTCGTTTTGATCGCATGTCAAATAAGTGCGCGCCGCGCAGCGCATAATTCAAACTGGTTTTTATATATTTACGCGCAGTTTTCGCTCTCCACGTGAGTTTCTCACCGAGCCGAACACTCGTGGAATTGAGTCGCGTGATTTGATGATCCGGCTGAGAAGTGGGCATACAAATCATTTGAAATGCGCTTATTATTTAGTTAGGATTGGCTCTTAAATATTATTGTGTAAACACAGTATTGTACTTAATTTGACGGTATATTAAATGGTATTTATATAAAAGTAGGCAGAAGACGAAAGGAGTCTGGAGTTACATAAAGCCGAGAAGAACAATTGTGGTCTTAATAATATACAAAGTATATTTGTCATTGAGATACGAAACTCGAATCTCAAAAAATGTTTTAGTTTTCCCAACTGGTTCAACAGATCTTTTGTTATGCGATCTCGGAAATCTAGTTCTACTCGCTTTGCAACAATTGCTAGGTGCCTTTTAGGGTATTCGGTATTCCAACCCGCCCAAAAACCACATTCGTAATCCGTTTTGCGCTCATTTCATATTTACAACAATGAAATTTATAAAAAAGGAAAGATTTAAATTTGAACAGCATTAAAATATGCGCAGAACCAAAAAGCGAATCCAGTGAATCCAGTTTGTATTTTTTCTTCCTTTTTTTGACTCAACTCTGTCGAGCCCCTGCCCCTGGAGCAGGGGCCACGCATGACCGCAAATGCTGAAAAGTTCTGCTCGCTTTATATTTTGCGCATAAAAATCATTGGGGTTAAAAAACATGGCAAAAAACAAAGCAAAAAAAAAGTGGAAAAAACGACGCTGGCTGCTTATTAATTATAAAGTGTGAGCATGTTGATGGAATCAAGGGCGCTGCCAATGATGACGAAGTCGAGCAGCACTTGAGCCCAGCAAGGCATCTGAGCAAAAAAAAAAAAAGTAAAAATAAAAATGAATGTTGAATAGCAAAGGCTGCGACTGAGTGAGGGGTAGAGCCTTGCGACTGCTCTTCATCTCGTGTGGGAAATCTGAATAATGCATAAAGTGTAAAAGCGGCAGGGGCACTAAACGGAACCGAACGCAACGCAACTAAAGGACGGCAACAGCAGCAGCAACAGCAGCAGCAGCAGCAACAACAGCTCTGAACAGAGACGACAATCTACATAATTGAGCGGCAACAACAGCAACAAGCGTGTTGCAAGTTAAACGAGTATGCGAGAATTGTCAATTGAGTAGCCCGGCAGCAGCGCACAGGATGATTTGGGACTGGGACTGGGCCTCGGCTAGGGCCTGATCGGGGCCCATGGTCAACGCCGCATTGGTTCTCATCAATGGGCCTCACAGAAAAAAAAGGGTTGACTTAAAACTGGTTTGGTTTATTAATTATTTTTAGCTAGTTGCTTGGCTGTAAGCTAAAATCGATGGTAAGTCAATTGGCAGACTCTGCGAGGAGTAGTAGAGGGGGAGGAAAGGGTGGGGGTATTGGCAATAAGCATCATCAACGCCAAAGCTTATAGCTCAATTTGTATGCAGCTGGCGTGGCCCACGGCTGGCTTAAGGGCCTACAATTATGACCAGACTGCAAGCGATAGTCTTTTCCAGCTTGGAGCTTCGTTTGACTCATTAAATTTTGTATTTACACAAAACACGCTAATAACGTGATGGGGCACCAAAGCTGAAGTCTCATCTCAAAGGCGTTGGGCTAACGAGTTAAAATAATTTAATAAATGACACACACAAAGAGCGTCAAGTGGCCAAAGTGGCCGGTTGAATGCGCCCCGAAGTACGCCCTGACGCGACTCCGTCTGAGAAGGTGGAAAAGTTTTACGCCTCTGTGACCTTGAAGTGCACCCTCGAGCCAGCTTACAATGCGGCGCGGCTGCCAAGACACTATAGCAGAGGGGCATGCGCGGACTGGGCCTATTACTAAATTAATAAACCCGAACAGCGATAGCAAAGGCAACGCCAACTTGGGCCAACGGCAAGCGGGCCGAAACTGTTAAAATATTCTGCCACAATTGCAAAAGGAGCGGAGGTCAGATGACAACAGAAACTCAGTTTTTGTTGTTGCAACGTTAAATGTAAGGATTTAACTCTTAAATCAGCGATTGTCCCTTTGCACATCAAAGGTCCTACGTTTAACTTAAGGTACACTGTTATTAACATTAATATATAACATAAATTCATACTGATGTTAAATTAACATGAGTTCTATTCCTTATACATTTTTCAATCAAATTTTATAGTAAATGCTATTTATTGTAAGCAAGTTAAACTAACACCAATATTTCTCAGATTAATAAACATTTTGATGCCCAAAATCGAACTGAGAAATATAGGGAAAAATGTTTATCAAATTTGTTTCTCTAATATTTATTACCACGAAACGATCAGCGACAAATTTGTGTGGTGGGCGTTGCCAAAATCAACAGAAAATCTTCAACTGACGGAAAAGTGCGCATTGCACACAGGTCGTCTACAGCCAAACACTGCAGGCGGTAGACATAGACAAAGACGTCGACGTTGACGTCGACGACAACGGCGACGACGGCGGACCGCCGACTGCTTATGCAACCTACGCGCTGTGAGTAAAAGCGGACGCACACAAACGCGAACACAAAGCTGATGGACAGACCTCATGGCAGCGACAGGGACTGCGTTTGCCGCACCGTAAAGAAAATTAAAAATTGTCCGACTCTGTCTGTCTGTCTGTCGGTGTGACTTTGGCAAACTATTCCGCATTCTTGTTGCAGCCCGTTGAACGGCTGGCGGCCTTGCGGGGCGCTGGGGTCGCCTCCATTTCAGCTGCCGGTTCTAATTTATGATTTATGTGTGTCCGTGTGTCGTTCTGGCTTTCTGATGCGGCACAGTAGGCGGGCCCTCGCTTTGACCTGGAAGTGTGCATGTGTCACAATTCTCTGTGTATGTATACGTGTGTGTGTGTGTGTCGTGTCCTTCTCTGACGTCACGGCGCGCAGTCAACGACTTGAAAAGGCTTGCGCAACAATTATTGATTTAGCTAAGCCGTCTACCCTACTTGCCCATCCTTGAGCACAATCGCCGCTTTGTGAAATGATTGCAACATTCTTTCTTTCCGAGAAAACAGCCTTGAAGAACTGCGTCAATGCACGCGGCGGGGCAGCCAAACAAAAAGATTGTATTCATTTTGCCATTAACCCAACACCCGTGGCACAAACTTGTATTCAGCAAATGCTGCTTATCTGTTCCGTTCAAATGGACGAAAGCTTACAAGAGTTTGCAAGGGCAAAAAAAAAAACCCAACAACAGAAAACTTTGAGCAACTAGCACCAGCAAAATCAGCAGCAACACGCAACGCGACAGTGTGGCAGTTGCAGCTGCTGAGAACAATGACAAACGCTGGACACGCAACAAAGCTTGACCAGGCCAATTGAAATGTCCCGAATGGGCACTGGCTAGGAACAGATAATAAAATTATGTTTTTATTGAGGCAATAAAAATGGTCGCAATTGCATGCAAACGTATTCTATAAATGGCTAATGCCGAATATCAAATGTTGGCCAAACGATTGGGATATTGTTAGGTTTTTATATGTGGAAAAAAAAACCAAACAAACGCAAACATTCTCAAGAATCAACATTTGTAAACCGATTTTGCTATATTGAAAAAGAAGAATCTTGCTGTCAGAAACATTTGGTAAAAATTGAGCTCACTCCGTCAGCTTTAGACTTATTATACATATATATCCCATAATAGCAATTGGTCTTAAATCTGGTTATGTGGAAAACAAAGCTCTTTGACTAAGAACCGAAATCGATATTATAAATCTATTTTTATTAGGCATATTTCTGAAGACAGCTATTGATTAAATCTGTTTCACTCCCACCCAGCAGATATATATATATATATGTCTACGTATATATTCTGCACAATCTTGAGGGTTTTCTAAGAAAGCGAGCATCTTTTTTCATCGTTTTCTGTGGCTGAACAAGCCAATCGCCAATGCAATGCCCGGGGCGAGGCTATGACAGCCAGTCAAGCTCTCGACTTCAGGCATTTATAGAATCAACGATTATCCAACTCTGATGACAACAACGACAGGCAGGGAGGCAGCCACAAAGTCGTAAACTATTTGCACAGTGCCAAAGACTGCCCCAGTACACTCGTCCCTGCACCCGATACCCTACACCCGGCTCTCTGGTGCCCTGCCAGACGACGCTTGGGCAGCCGCTAGGCAGCGACAGCAGAACAATTAAAAGTACTTGGGCAATGGGGCACATACAGACGGGGGCTTGTTTTCGACATATTTGTGTAAATATTGTATTTGTGTTTGTAATTATGTCGGCTTGATGATAACTCGCAGATAATGCTCAGGTAAATATGCGCTGTGTACACAGCGCAGCCAAGAGAACAGGCCACTAATGCCAGCCACTCGACTTTAAATACCCTGTACTCCATGGAAACGCGTAAAAGGGGTAGTGTTCGTTGCTATACGAGATATCTGTAACCGCATTAAATAAATAAATAAATGAAGGTGAGATGAGTGAATTCAGCCCTGTTCACACTGGAGTATGCCTTGTTTTTTCGAAGAAATCGATAAATAAAAATCGATTAGATAAAGGCTAGACAACAAATTTATCGCTTTTTCTACAATCGATAACTGTTTAGCATATCTGGGATACTGTGTAAACTCTCATGCCTTAAATATGATTAATATGGATTTCTAGCCCAAAATATCTGGTTTTTAGCTTATTCGCATTCTCTGAACATTTTATATTTATCTGTCTATATAACATAGAAGTTATTTAGGAACGGACTATCGACAGTTTAGATCGGTAATTTATGGCCGGGTATCTCCTAGTCGGGCACTAACGAGTTCTTGTTTGTTGCATGTTGTTGCTATACTACAGCTGGGGGGCGGGAGGGCTTACAAATGTGAGTGAATCTGACAAAACATTTGTACTGCAACGTGACTGCTACCAAATTCAAGCAACTCAAATAGCCACCCACTCGAGAGCTGCCCATCTGCCGAGCTACCCCTTTAACAAGCATTTCCTGTTTGGCAAGAAAACATTTTTATGGCTTCCAATATGTACTGCCAGACAATACACAGATTGACTTTTAGCTGGGGTATGTCGTAAATGTCATGTAAGAGACAAAGACAGTGACGGAGATTGAGAGCGAGCGAGAGAGAGAGAGAGCGAGAGAGAGAAGGACAGATACAAGAGACAGCGACTCACCTGATGTAGGCCACTTCATTGTTGTTGGTTAGTCGACGCCAGCCTGGAGCCAAATTTGCGATGTTGTTGCTATTGTTGCTGCTGCAGTTGTTGTTGTTGCTGCTGTTGTTGTTGTTGCTGCTGTTGTTGTTGTTGCTGCTGTTGTTGCTTGCATTATTGTTGGCATTGTTGGTTTTAGCCACATTCTTTGCAAAGAGCTGCTGTTGCTGATGTTGATTGTTCTGACTCATTTGACGCGATGCAATTGTTGCCGGCATACTGTGCGTGGCAGCAACAGTTGCTGATGCGGCTGCTGCTGACTTTAAAGGCAACTTTATTTGTGCAGCACGCTGTTTGGTTTGCTGTTGTTGCTGCTGTTGCTGCTGCTGCTGCTGCTGCAGCGGCGAGCCGATGGCTGGACAGACAAAAATGTGTTGACTGTGGCGCTGTTGCTGTTGTTGTTGTTGTTGGTGCTGCTGTTGCTGCCCGGCAACATTTGTGGCTTGCATCATGTTGGCGCTACCATTTACCAAACCAGCTGGTAAGATATGTTGTTGCTGCTGCTGCTGATGTTGTTGTTGTTGCATTGCGGCATTTGTAACGACCCGCGATACAAATTTCGTTTGCTGCTGATAGAATTGCTGCTGCTGTTGCTGCAACATTTGATGGTGGTGCTGCTGCTGCTGTTGCTGCTGCTGCTGCTTGTACATGTTGAGCTGCTGTTGTTGATGCTGTTGCAACTCGTTCACCTGCAGCACGCCAGCAACCGATTCCGCATTGCCAACAATATTCAGTTTGTGCTGCTGCTGTTGCTGCTGTTGCAGCTGTTGGCCAGCGGATGCGGCAGCCATGTTAATAACAGCAGCCGTTTAAAAGCGCTTGATTTGTGGGCTGCAAATTGAAAGCAATGTTTACTGGAATTAAAAGCGAGAGCGCAGCGAGAAACACACACATGCACACACACAAACACGTTCAAAAGCACATAAACATATATTTTAATGTTCTTCCTCTTTCCATAGGCTGAGTCACAACTAAGCACACATGGAATTTCCACAAAAAAGTCCATCATAACCAGAATCTTAAGCAAGAATGCTCTAGTCAATTTTGACCGACCAGAAGATAGCCTGTACCCAGCTTTGAATTGCCTTGCGATACATTCGTAACAGTTTATGTCCTTCTCTGCTTAGCCCCACATTGTGAAAATTACATTTATATGCGTATGTATTCCAAAAACGTGATCTACAAACTTTAAAAATTCGATTTTCCGATCATGGGAGAGTTGGGTAGGGAATCAAAAAGTAAAATATTATTGATTTCTGCTTGCTTTAACCAGAAATTAAACTTGGTGTCTCTTGCTTTTATAATCTTGGAAATAGGTATGCCCAATATTAGGTTAATATATATAATTATCAACGTAAGTATCGCTATTTTACATATTCAGAAACAGCTTAGCTCAGACAAAACCACAAACGAACATTGTTAAATCGACTGTGCTTCCAATGTTATTTAGGAATAAATTCAAATACCTTTTTCTGCCAGAAACATACCTATGTACAGAATCATTACCCCGCTTTTGTTACCCTGTTTTTACAGGGTACAATAAAATTTTCGAGGGAAAAAAATTACTGTGCATTTTCTTTGTTTTTCTTCATATCAATACGTTGTGTGCGTGGCGCTTGGACATGGTCGTATGTATGTGTGCAATTTGAATTGCGTAGCGTGTAAATACGCATCTGTGTGTGTGTGCATGAATTGGCCATTAACATACACACACATACATGTTCTCACTTATACAACTGCACAAATTGTCAAGCCTTTGTTTTTTTGCTATCTTTTGCGGTTGCTGCTCACCTTTTAACGTAATTTTCGGTTTGCTCATTTGCCAACATATTCAATTAATTTGAGTTATTGTGTAAACGAGACGCGAGCATGTCATATTGCTGCTGCTGTCGCTGCTGTTGCTGGTGTTGCTGCCGCTGCTGTTGCTGCCGTCTCTGCCGCTGTTGTTGTTGTTGTCGCGCGTTTTTAAGCACTTAATTTCACTTTTTTTTTACAGCTTTTCTTGTTGTAATAAAGCGACAACGACTTTTGTCTTGTTGTTTAGCTGCTGCCTTCGATGTTGCTGTTGGTTTTCATACAATCTGCTGCTCATGACTTCATTTGGAATTCAGAAAACGAACGTCGCTCGCTGCCAGAAACAGAAACAGAGAGCGAAGAGCGCGCAACGCGTAAAAGTAGGTGAATGGAGCATGAAGCAGCCGCCGACGTCGCAGTCGCCAGTAGACAACAACAACAACGTCAACGGCAATGGCTAGAGAGTAAACTGGGGTGATAGGTGAGGAGGGTATCGGTGGGGGGGACAAAGGCAGAATGAGCGACGCTCAACGCAACCCAACGAAACGTTTTGTTTTATGAAAAAAAAAAAAATATTCTGCTTAAATACTTATTATGCGCGTAAAGCAGAACAATTTGCCAGACGCGACTCTTGTTATTGCTGTTGTTGTCACTTTTTAATAGCATGCATGTGTATGTGCGTGTACATACATATGTTTATGTACACACACAAATTCCTGCATAGCAATGTTGTGCATGTGTATGTAAATTCACGTATGTATATAATTAATGCGTGCGTCCGTCTGTCTGTCCGCTCATGTGTGGACACCACCTGCCCTCGGGTTCTGCTCTAATGATCATAATAAGAATATATCCAAGGGAAACAAACATACACATACACACACACAATTGTAATACATCGGAGTGACCTCAAATGCTTATCTGCATTTCACATGCGCTTTTTTTGGCAGCTGCTGCACTTACTACACACACACACATTCATAAACAAATGCAACAAACTATTTGTATATACATATTGAACGGCCAGCCTAGGGCATTTGAAAATTGTTTTGACTAAACGCTGATTTAACTTTATTATGCACAAACAGCAATTAAATGGGAATTAATTACAACGAATTCATTCGTTGGCTTTATACACGCAACATTGACAACCGAACGAACGACGATTCGACACTCGACTCTCGTACGCGCACACGAATTATTTTACTCAATAACTATGGATTTTTTTCATTTGGTTTTGTTCACCTTGAAGGGCCAAGTGCTTTAATATCAAAGCATAAGCTTTGAGTTTCGCAGCCACTTACGATTCGAGATTATGCTAATTATTTCACTTTTGCGTGTGCGCGCATTTGTTTTTGGAATTTTTCGACTGCCCAAAATTCCATTCACTAGTAGAAACTAGGGATGTTAGAAGCATCAATATATCAACAAACATCGATATTTCTTATTTTGATAATAGTCGCAACTATCCCTGCTGATACCATCGATATAAACATTACGCTTCGTTGCTCACTTTGCGCTTACGTTACGCAACGTTATGTACTTTAGCTTAAGTGGCCCGTTGCGTAAAAAAAAAACTGCCATTATTATAGTAACAAATACAGAATAAAATATAATATGAAGGGTTGAATGAAAAGATTGTTGTATATGTTATATTCTGTTCTCTAAGCATGCCACCATTTAACAGCTTATCAACTATTCCAAAGTTATCGAAATCGATTTCTTACTCCATTGCACCTCTGAGCTAAACACAACAAAGCGCGCGGAGCCGGCGATTTCTGTGCTGTTTCATTTTGCAAACTCCAAACGTATATTTTTATATTGAAACATATTAGTTATTAAAAATTAGTGTTTGTAAGAAACCGCAACAATGTCTACCGCGACTTTAACGACATGCAAGCTGTTATTATTTGGCCGATGTGTGCGCGCCGTATTACTCAGCGTGGGCGTGCAATTTCTGCTGCTTACTGTATTTTTGCTGCTTGTTAACTTTCAATTGCTGCGTCCACTGGATTGGATAATGGGCTCACTGCGTCTGGTGTGCAGCTTCTACACATGGTTTGCCTGCATACCCCTACTTGCCGCCGTTGTGTTCTACGGAATGGCGCTGTCCCATCAGCACCTCGCAGAGCGTCACTACTGTCCCACACGCTATCGCTGGCTCCTGCAAAACGGTCCTCGCAAACTATTATTTCTATTCGCTCACTTGGTCGTAGGCTACCTAACTGCCTGGCTGTACACGGGTTATTTGCACACGGACTATCGGTATGTCTACATTTATGCCTCTTAACATTTTTATAACTGGGTTTACCCCACAGGCATTTTGTGCATAAGTGTTATGGACAGGACTGTCTGAACTCATATCACATCTTTTTGCTAGGCATGGGCCTTTCCGCCGGCTGCTATTACTTTGCCACCGAGTACATGCATGAAGAAGCATCAATTGATTTTGACTTTGCCGAACAGTCGCGTCCAGAAAAACTGCGTGAGCTGCTCTATGGAACCCTGTTGAAGGCGCCAATCAGTTCCGTGATGCCCACGCTGTGCTACACGTTTATCTTTTGGCTATTTGGCGCCTTTCTGAAGTACAGGCTGAGTGTTCTAGTCAACGTGGACACGGACGATCGACTGCTGGGCATTTTAGATGTGATTAGCAATGGACGACTGCTGTTCTATGGCTGGCTGCTTAGCGCACAGATAGTGAGCAACATGCATCTCATGCGCTGCTTTTATGCCACGCTGCTGTCAGAGAAATTGCCGATGGTCGTTGCACGCAATCGAGTTTCCCTTGGCAGTGAGCAGGAGCTCACCGTTGTGGCTGGTCTGGGCGTCTTGAATGTGTATGTAGTGCAGTGTCTGGCCGCCAATTTTCTGTACGAAGAAGCACAACGCAAGAACTCATCGGTGCGCACGGAAATCTTTCAGCTAACCGAGCCAGGTAATCGGCCAGCCAACTGGCGCGCCCTTTGCGACCAATGTGTCAGCATCGTGGGCATTTTTACCGAAGAGCTTAGTGATTCGATGCGGCAGATCAGCTTGATGAAAGGCAACGAACAGAATTTTGCGTCTGTACACAGTGACAGTAGTGCCGCTCTTCTGGCAGAAAAGATGTTGCTTCGACAGTACAATCAAATGCATGGCATTCGTCCTGTTGTCTCGCTACCACGTGATGTTCCTAACCAGGAGTGGGATACAAAAGCCATGGATAGCATACGCCATGTGCCAAATTGGTGCGAGCGTACATCGATGAAGCTGGAGAAGTTGCTGCAACAGCTGCTGCGTCGTATTCCTGGCATAGTTTATTTCTTCTCCGAGCCGGAAGGCGCCAAGACGGAATTTCTACTGGAAAATGCGTTGCCCGTTATCTGGATAACACAGGCGCTAGCGCATATCTGCGTCGCCTCAATCAATGAGGATAGTTATGGTGTGGTGCAGGACGACTTGCCGGGGATCATTAAGGCATTACTTCGTCTCAAGTGTGAATTGGACAGGCTGAGCAACGGCATGCCCAACTTTCGCACAACCAGCAACAGCTTCAATCACTTGCGGTACGCAGTTCGTCGCAGTCTCTATAATATTTGTACATCGTTTTACAAATATTTAGGCGAACTGTCATCCAGTGGCGAGGAGCTGCGCCAGCTGCAGGCATTCGTTTATCAGGGATAGAAAACCATGCGTCATTAAACATTTCTTCACAGATCATTTTTAAACATCTCTCTTTAGTAGTTCTCTTCGGTAACAATAAAAATTAATAAATACAATTACAATGTACATATGTTATATACACTTGACTTTTTGCCTATCTATATATATACGTAAAGTTAATTCTCATTTTGTTCAAATCAAGCAGTGATCAGTTATCCATTTGGTGCAGCATTATGCAGCGAACTATTGCTCTCCCATTGACATGGCATACATGAGCAGTGCCAAGTCCTGCTCCACTTCAAGAATTCGTCATTGCACTAGTTTTACTGGCACCTCGGCATTGCTCACAGCCTCTTCAAGTGATTTTTCCAGCTCGCCGGCCACCTCATCTATATGCTGGAGAGCCTCCTTGCCCTTTCGACCGCGTCCATCGATAAAGATTTGTGTTTGTAGAAAGTTAAGCGCACGGAATGCCATGCCGCCGGTGGGATCATAGAAACCCTCGTATGTTTTAGGATTTCTTGCGCTGGCGCTCTGATCTGGAGTATTGGGGTCAAAGGGCACGTACTCCAGCAGCGGCTCCTTATGCCATCGGAAGATATTACGTGAATCTAATTGTTAAACAGAACATTCCAGTCATAATATGTTTATATAAGACCGATATAATAACTCACCCAATTCCGCTAGAACGCGCGTCATTTCTCGTATTTGCGCATCCTGACGTTCCAGTCGGAAGTTGATTTCAGTCAGCGTATTGGTCAGCTGCATCTTTTCCATTTGAAAAGCCTCATTTTTTTTGTTCTCCTTGATGGTTTGGCGCGAATACTCAAATATCAGCAAACCGGCGCCAATGGCAAAGATAATAAACTCTCCAAGCAGATTAGCCCCCAGCTCAATGGCCATGGCTTCGGTCAATGGTGGGACAGTGACAGGCCGGCCAAGATTCAGCGCCCACATCTTGGTCTTCACCTCCACCCAATTGTAAACTGTAAGATAACGATAATCGAAGAGCATTAATCATTTTAATCTAAGTATAGACAAAAATTAGTCTTACACTGAGCCGGCGGCATGCATATGTATTTCCTAAAAAATGGACTTGATTTTGCATTGGACTTTAACACATTCGCAATGGGTTTGCTAATTTGTTTAACTGCCAACACGCCAAGTTTGGCGGCTGGAAATACTCCAATAACCATTTCTTACGGTGTTTTGTATTACAAAATCTCGGCACGAAAAACGAAAGCGACTAGGGCTGGCAAATAGGAAAGCGATAGAACAGCTGTTTTTTTCTAAGCGGCGTGTTGTCCGATAACCGATAGTCGATAGACGATAAGCAAAGTATTAACGAGTTAAACAATCAAAAGTAAAGTTTACATTTTTAAAACTCTAATTATTCTCTCTATAGTATTCGTCTAAATGCTGATGCATTTTTTTAATTTCTCTTTCCTGCCAGTCGAGCAGATTATTTAATGAAGATATTTGCATACTTAGTTCCTCTTGTTTACGTTTATGTATATCATGTTTTTTCTGATCATTTTTTGCTTGCCTATATAAACAAATATTAGATATATTTATTTTATGCATACCATTCTAACAAACCTTACCGGGAAACTTCAAAAAATATCAGATATATTCCTAAGCCCAGTGTAAAAAGTTCGCTAAGTAAGTTTGCTCCCAAATCTGTTGCCATTTTTTCCGATACTCGAGGGATCCGCTTGGGTTGTGGAAGTTTTAACATGTGCATCTTACATCTTGCTTCGAAACAATTTATTAGTTGTCCGGCCGGCGCGCACAAGTACCTTCTAAATATTGAATGGTTTACCGCAAAGGTCCTAAGAGCTGCGCTAACTGGCTTGGTGATTTGCCTCATGCCCAAAATGGCAATTTTTCCAAGAGGAAATGCACCGAGGACCATTTTGTGAACATAAATTTATAGTCTTTTAAAAACAGAGTTATCGTGTGTGACAGAAGGCGCAAATGTATTTGATATAATCAGAGAAAAATATATTGCACAACGAATCCCTTCTTGTAAAACCCATTCTCGCTTTTTATTTAACAAGAAGTAACACCTAATTCCATGAGCTTGGCCTTAAGATTTTTAATTTCATAAGTCTGGCTCACAACTCGATCATTTAATAATTCTATCTCGTTTTTCAGATTTTCCTTCTGGTCCCGGTGGTGTTGGTGCTTTAACTTCTCATTGCGGGCTTGCCTGGATGAAAATGAAATGTTTATTACTAACCCTCACATCGATATACTGCACTTACCGCGAAAACTCCAAGCACAACAAGCTTACACATAATGAAAACACAACAATCTCGCCGAGTAGGTCACTTCCTGTTTCAATGGCCATTGTTTTGTTCAATGGTGGAACAAACTTTGGTTGTTTCATACCCAGCATACGCATTTTCGCTCTAACCCCAATCCAATGGTAAACTATGGATGAAAAGTTAAGCTGAATCGTAATTTTAAACGTTTAGCTGAGTTTCTGCCACTTACTTTGTGCGGGTGTACTGACTAGATATGTATTAAATGTTTGATTCGATTTGGCAGTTTGCTTGATGATCTTGACAATGGGTTTACTTATTTGCCTGACAGCTAATGTGCCCAGTTTTATAAGAGGGAAGCTCACCATTGTAAAACTTTGAAATTTTCAATATAATTCATATTTGTGACTGAAAAATCGGAACAATCTTCTCTATCTACTATCTATATGTCTCAGAACAGGTTTTTATTTATTCGAAAAACTTATTTGCAATCAAAAGAACTATTAAATTAAATTGCGGGCAATAAATATAAAAAAAAATAGTTAAACAAAGCTTACATTTACAATAAACAACTAGGTAAATTATATTACGGTTTTAAGAGATATATTTACGTATTGCATTCCATATGTTTAAATCTTTAAAATTCGTTGGCTTACCGACGATACATCGCAAACCCGAAATAAATCGATGCCGTTTAAAAAAGTATCGATATTTCTTCTTACATCCCTAGTCCGTAGGCAAATTTGGGAGTTTGAATTGTTTGTGACGAAGTCGCTTACAGTGTAAAGAGGGAGCTGCTAGTAAAACAGTGTATCCAGGCCACACAGGTCAGAAAATGGAGAAGGTTAATGTCGTAATTCCGGCACCTAGTGGATTCTGTGTGCTTTGCGGATCCAAAACGAGTCTGGTTTGCCATCGATGCGGTGACTTTTATTGTACAAAGAAATGCCAGCTTAACGATTGGCAACGCCATAGGTATATATGCTTTTCAATACCCGCTCTGGTGCATCCACTAGAGTGCTCCGCTTTTGGCGTTATGGAAGTACCCCCAAAGCCTGCAGCTCAACAAATTGTTCACGAATTAGCTGTCAAAAATGCCGCATCGGCATTCAACACAGACGATGCCAGCATAGATGAAGCAAAAGCTGAGCTGTCTATAAAATCAACTGAATCATCTGAACCTATCCCTCCGATAGCAGATGGCGTTGCGAACGGAAATATAGAAGAGTGTGATAAGACCAGCAACACAAACGAAACAGTGAAAAATGTCGCTGTCGCTGTCGCTAAGCCGGCATTCAGCAATAACAATAACAATAACAGCTCAAATAACAGCACTTCAAAGAAAATGGATTTGAAATTTAAAGGTCCGCCTCAAGTGGCCATGCCTGTGAATGGGAGCGTTGTTTACATCACAGGGTTTCGGTCGCCGAATCGCTGCTTTATACGCGACGCTGGCGAATCCGCTGAGAAAGCATATTTAGAAATCTGTCAGAAGGTCTGAGTGTGTATATATTCATATGTATAAATGTTTATTTAATTAATCGTAAATTGGCTTTTAGGTCAACTTACTAGGCAAGGAGCTGCCGGAAATACAGAAACTTAAGGTTTATGGCTATGCGCTGGCCAAATACAATGGACAGTTTCAGCGTGTCAAAGTAATTGGAGTGCGCACCAATCAGTGTGCGCGTCTCCAATACTTGGATTTGGGTTTCGCCAAGCCACGAAATGGTGCTGAAATGCGCGAAATTAGCGACGAGCTGTTGGAACTGCCCTGCCACAGCTTGGAGCTGCAGCTTAAGGGTGTGCCAAACTATGCATTAAGCGATCAACTTAATGGGTTTCTTTCACAGTTCGAGGGAGAAAGATTTGTAATTAACAATGTCGGCAATAAGCAAATAGAATTGGTGCATGTGGAGACGCTCAAATCGTTGAACATACAGATACTCGATTTTAGTTCGAATATGCAAGTTTTTGGTAGCCCAACGGTATCATTTGACAAAAAGGCAACGCCATTCAATGCAGGCACTCAACAAAACAACAACAACAACAATTTGGAGCTCAAAACTGTGTCAGCTACCAAGGAACTAAAATTAGTATCTGTTGTAAAGACGCCCCAACTAGACACAAAAAGTGCTCAATTGGTAAAAGCTATGGAAGAAAAATTGAAAAAGGATCAAACACAACAAGATAAGGGAATATTATGTTATAATTTAGATGAGGAATCAAAGAACTCTGAAGAGAAACCAAAAGAAAATGTGCCATTTAATAATAGACCAGTGGAAACCATTCCAACTTTAGCATTTGAATCTAGCAAAAATGAATATTTCAAAAGTGAAGCGATCGCAAATTTAAAAAACGAAATACCCATGATAACTCAAACCACTTTTAAGCCTGCAGTAACAGTTGTTGATAACCAGAGTCCGATCACATCGAAAACAATTGATAAAACTAATGTTGAGCCTTTGTTAGTTCCTGTACGTAGCATTTACTTTTTCAAGCTTTTTGGCTGATTTCTAAACATTTTTACAGCCCTTCGAAATGCACCGTATTATTATCAAAAATAAGGAAGGACTCGATGTTTTCATTGTGGACAATGCGAACGTTTCCCGAGGCATTATTGGCGCCTTCGATAGCACATATGCGCGAGATTTCTCCCAGCTGCATTCTCGTCTGTCGGAATTCAAGGACTCGCAGCCCTACAGACCTATGTAAGTAGCTAAAGCTTTAAACAAATTGTGTAAAGCAAAACGTGACCATAAAAAATTTATAAATAGTTTTGATAAGTATCAACACACCTGCCTATATATCCAACCATTTACTTTTTTCCCCCTGCTTCTATGTAATCTACTCTCTTAGTATTAAACTTACTTTGATGAAAGCTCCCGATTTTGTTGCAGGTAATTTATTTGCGAATGCTTTAGCTGAAAATCTTTATGAATGTATATAGTACTATATCGCAAATGTGCTATACTTTTACAAGGCTCGGCTACCATGAAATTAATGGTTCCCTCTTGTTTTTGTATTTACCAGGCTCAAGGAATACGTCATAGCTAAGTTCGAAAACGAATGGTATCGCGCCAGGGTGACTGAAATAAAAAAGAATCGGGTCAACTGCACTTACAACGTAATGTACATTGAATTTACCAATGTATCCACGGTAACCGAAGAGGATATTCGCCGTTATCCAGCCGACTTGACAGTACCCTGTCATACCAGCATTTGTCTAATTGAAGGTTATTTGTTGTCAATGTCTGACCTATCGTTACCGTTAATTTGCACATTTTTCTCTTCTAGGTTTTCCGCACCGACCAACCAAGTCACAGATTAACTTTTTGGAAGCGAAACTACAAATGCACAGCTTGTTGCACATCGATTCAGTTAGTTATTTACAGGATATGGCATTGATTAAATGCAATGCCTTGATTGAAGAACTTCAAAAAGCATAAGACCACAGGAACAAATCACATTGTTAATTTACCAAATTTTGTATAAATATTTTTGTACAAACTTACAAAATGTTAAAAAAAAATAATATTTTTATACATTTTGCAATCAGATTTCTTCAAAATAGAGAGATGGGCGGCCGCATATTTTTTCGTAGCCCCAAGTCGCAATTTATACATATCCATTAATCATTAAAAGTGACGAATTGTTAAACTAGAAATGTTTTTAAAATATTGCCTTAACTTTTTCCGGCTGATCTCCGAAAATGGCCAAAATTAGCTAGAAAATAGCTAAGTCGTCAAAACTAGTGGCAATCATGCTATTCCTCAATTTAATATATCGATAGAGTCCACATCGTATGGAATGTATCGATAACCGCATGTCTTTCGATATCGAATTTCCCTACACTTTCTATTGCGGCATATCGAAAAAGTTCTTAGTCGCAAAACAGATCGCTCGCAACTCGCAACCTGTATTTGGTGTATACGCAGCCTGTGCATTTAAAGCAAATTAATTCCAAAACAGGAAAAGCAATACATCTATACCTAAACGTTACTTTTAACACTCACAGAAGGTAATTTTTGATTTATTTATAATCATATATTTGTATATACATACTATATTATTAAATGCATACATAAGAACAGCGTTAACTTTAGTCCGATACTGTAAAAACGTATTTTTGCATAAATTAGCAAATTGGCGCTAGCTACTTTGTTGCTTTTGTTTGTTGATGATGCAAACGATTAACCGTATTATGAGAACACAGTGATCCACACACACATACATATGTACGTCCCAGCACACTCACTCATTTGTATGACCGGCCATCGCGCGGGTAGAAAATATGTAAAGGTGAAATAGAAGTCATTCCATACGAAAGCACACACATACACTTTTTTGCACACATATACCGCAAACACGCCATTGGAAAATGCAATAATAATCACCAAGTGTCTATATTTTATAAACCTTAAATTGAATACCTTTATCGCCTTACATACATATACACAACAAACAAAATATGTATGTGTGGCTAAGATTTTCGTGTGTGCAAAAGCCGAAATCCCACGACGCGGCGATGAGTAATTAAACGCTGATAATAAATAGCCGGCTTTTCTTCTTTTAAATTTATTTTAATCACTAAGTCGAATTCCAACGACGCTTATTTGTATTCATGTTTCAGTTATTGTGACAATGTCCTTCGCAAGCAGGTTCAAGGGCAGAAACCAACAGCCTTTTGGAAATTGTTGAAAGTGCCAGCACTTTCACTTAAAGAGAACTTTCATTCGTTGTTGTTGCTTCGATTCGTAAAAGCTCTTAAAGCAAAAGCTTTTCTAGTGCTGTGCGTATCACGCGTCTAGCACCCCCGCAGCTGCGCGTTACACGCACTCGCAGCATGCGCGTGTGAGGGGGAAAGAGAGAGCATGCGTCCTATACGGTGTGGAGATTATTTCATTTGATTCAAGGTCAGTGGCGGCTTTTTCTGTGTCGACAGCTGATAACTAGGAAACACATATTTTATTATATTTGTAGGTATTTCGGCCCCAAACAGCTGACGATCAGTTTTTTGTTTACACTCTCGCGCTGATCCCAAGTATCCGATCAAGTAGCCGGCTGACTAATCGCCAGCTTTGTGCTAGGCAACACCAGTGACAGCCAAGTTGTAAGCTTTCCGCACTTTTATTCACATAAACTTTTTCGTACTGTCTCTCATTGTCGTGCTTGGGCGGCTTTTAGGGGTGGCCTGTTGCCGCTTGCCTTTTTGCACCACTGGCGCCGCTCTCTCGGCTCGGGCGAGACACTCATTTGGCATTTATTTTCACCAGAGTCTCGTGGTTTTGCGCTCATTGCACTACCGACATTCTGAATGCTTCTGCCAAAATTTTCCACCAAGTGCCGTCAGTCAGTCGAGCATTCTGTGCCAGTGTGTGAAAAACCTCAGTGCGCTTAGGTTTTCAACGCAAACATTTTTGCTATACAGCGCATCGTAACCTCTTGTTTTGTGCGTATCATCCGTGTTGGGCAATATTCTAATTATAATTACCGTTGGTTATACACCGTCAACTTAGTAGGCAACAAAATGGTTAACGTAACAATCTACGACGAGGCACCGAAGCTTAAGGTAAACCCCGACCGTGTTCTGTAATCCACACTGTCTATAAAGATATGCGTATCAGCCTGTATCAAAACTGAAAGTTTCTCATTTTTCCTCTTTTTTTTACCATTATGCAACTTTTTTCCTTTACTTTTCTGTTTTGCTGCATTTGCAAAAGTTGTGTGACCTTCGCAGATGCAGCGTCGCGCCGTTGCCGATGCATAAAATCTGCTCCGTCTGTCTCTTGGCATAGACCATGGCGCTACATCTTGCCTTCTCTCCCTCTCTCGTCTGCTGGCGCTCTCTTGTGCGTGTGGGTGCTCCTCCCCCTCCATTCAATCGTTTTCTCTCTCATCCCGCACTATTTACTTTCGGATCGGGTGTGGGCATATCGATATAACGCACCATAAACTGTCGAAGTTAGCACAACTTTATTGCCCACCTCATTGACAACGATAATTATTTTGGCAATTGGCAATCAATATGTCAATAATAATCTCTCTCGTATTTTTATCGTAGCCCAACGAAGTACCGCAAAACATGGCTGCCGGAGCTGATACCCAATTAGAGCACATGTGCCGCCTGCAGTTCGACTCGCCCGTACCCCATGTCCGCTTGTCCGGCATTGTGTGCACCATCGGTCCCGCATCCCGCAGTGTGGAGATGCTGGAGAAGATGATCGCTACTGGCATGAATATTGCGCGCATGAACTTTTCGCACGGCTCGCACGAATACCATGCTGAGACGGTGGCCAATGTGCGACAGGCTGTCAAGAACTATTCGGCCAAGTTGGGATATGAGCTTCCAGTGGCTATTGCCCTGGATACCAAGGGTCCTGAGATCCGCACTGGCCTGATCGGTGGCAGTGGTACTGCTGAGATTGAGCTGAAGAAGGGCGAGACCATCAAGTTGACCACCGACAAGGCATTCCTCGAAAAGGGCTCCCTCGAAGTGGTCTATGTGGACTACGTGAACATTGTCAACGTTGTGAAGCCGGGCAATCGCGTCTTTGTCGACGATGGGCTCATCTCGCTGGTGGTCCGTGAAGTGACCAAGGACTCGGTCACCTGCGAAGTGGAGAACGGTGGTGCTCTTGGCTCCCGCAAGGGTGTCAATCTGCCCGGCGTGCCAGTCGATTTGCCAGCTGTGTCCGAGAAGGACAAGTCCGACTTGCAGTTCGGCGTGGAGCAGGATGTGGACATGATCTTCGCATCGTTCATTCGTAATGCTGCCGCTCTGACTGAAATCCGCAAGGTGTTGGGCGAAAAGGGCAAGAACATTAAGATCATCTCCAAGATTGAGAACCAGCAGGGCATGCACAATCTGGATGAGATCATTGAGGCCGGTGACGGTATCATGGTTGCTCGTGGCGATCTCGGCATTGAGATACCCGCCGAGAAGGTGTTCCTGGCCCAGAAGGCCATGATTGCACGCTGCAACAAGGCCGGCAAGCCCGTTATTTGCGCCACCCAGATGTTGGAGTCCATGGTGAAGAAGCCACGTCCCACGCGTGCCGAAATCTCTGATGTGGCCAATGCTGTGCTTGATGGTGCCGACTGTGTCATGTTGTCCGGCGAGACCGCCAAGGGCGAATACCCGCTTGAGTGTGTGCTGACCATGGCCAAGACGTGCAAGGAGGCCGAAGCTGCTCTTTGGCATCAGAATCTTTTCGCTGATTTGGTGCGTGGTGCCTCAGCTTCCACTCTGGATGCTCCCCATGCGGCGGCCATTGCCGCTGTCGAGGCTGCGAACAAAGCCAAGGCAGCCGCCATTGTGGTGATCACTACCAGCGGCAAGTCCGCCTTCCTGGTGAGCAAGTATCGCCCACGTTGCCCAATCATTGCAGTCACGCGCTTCGCACAAACTGCTCGCCAGGCTCATCTCTATCGTGGCCTAGTGCCTCTTATCTACAAGGGTAAGTGTTGCATCCCTAACTTCCCTGCACTTCCCAAAATTTAATATGCAACCCATTTAGCAGAGCCCGCACTCGGCGACTGGCTGAAGGATGTTGATGTGCGTGTCCAGTTCGGTCTGCAGGTGGGCAAACAGAACGGCTTCATCAAAGCAGGCGACGCCGTGGTCATTGTCACTGGCTGGAAGCAGGGCTCCGGCTTCACCAACACCATTCGTATTGTGTAAGTAAAGTTAACACTAAACTCTCTAAGCAAGTCTTGGCTAATTCTTAAACATATTCTTGCAGTACCGTCGAATAAACCGGTCGCTGTGACTGGAGATTCATGCATCACTATGCTGGCGTTTTAAGCGCCTGTGCGTGCATAAATTACTGTTATTAACCAAGTTAATTTATTTAAAATTCTCAACAACTATATACGGATTATTGGATATCGAAATTGAATACATTTACCCGCTGCCAAAGCGCCACAGAACGGTTCGCAGGCGTGGAGCCGCTCTCACACACAGCCACACACACACACATATACACAAATCTAAACATGCAGAATAATTTATCATTGTTAAATATAGAGTTCTTTATAGTAACAAGGATTAATAAAAACTATATGTATACATTCTTGTGCCGATTTCAACGGTGAGTCCAAACATAGCTACGCAACATTTTACCATAATGAATATAATTATCATCTGTTCACAAGGTAAAGTAGAGTATATTTTGGATTTGTGCCAGTTTTTTTTCAGCTAATATAACATTTTGCGGGTGACATGATTGTTACACAGATCGATCCAATTATATTGCGCAATTCAAATGCGGTATATCCTATTCAGTTGAGGTTCGGGTTTCATTCACTTTTTTTGTAAATTCTTTCCTTAAATTTTTCAAAATTCTAACTCGGTTTTTGGCTTATAGTACCCATAGCATACTAAACCAAATTACAGCAAAAAAAACATCAAATTGAGCGACATTTACCGTTGATTTACAGTTCAAAAGGATTTTACATAGTTTTTTTCATTTGGAATATTTATAAATTATAACTATAAAGTGTGTATAGTCTCAGATGGGACTTTCTTTCGTATTAAAACGCAGCTTTTAATTAAAAATCAATCCAAATTGTCGTTTAGTGCAATTTTCAAATTAATCTCTCAAAATTTCGCTATTCGTAACATATATTGCGCGGTTCGCATCTCGTGCGTCTGCGCCTAAGCACAGTCTGCCGCCATGGGCACCTGTAGATTCACCTAGCTACTCCAAAGATGCCAAGGCGAAAACTGTAAGTGGTAACAAAAAAAAACCATTTGGAAATAGGTAAAAGCAACAACCTCCCTTCAAACATGCAGGAAGGTAAGCCAAAGGTACGTCTGGATCGCGGTCCATTTGCCTCGCAATTGGATTACAAATCTCGACTGCAATTTAATGCGCCCAAATTGGCTAACCCGTTGAGCGGAATCATTTGTACCATTGGACCTGCCACAAATAAACCGGAATGCTTAGCTAACCTAATCGATGCTGGGATGCGCGTGGCGCGCTTGAATTTCTCCCACGGCTCACACGAATATCATTGTCAGACAATAAAAGCCGTGCGGGAGGCCGTGAATTGCTATGCGCAGCGGATAAACGCGTATAAGCCGGTTGCTATTGCATTGGACACCAAGGGGCCGGAAATACGTACGGGTCAGCTTTCAGGTAGCGATACGGCCGAAATTGAACTCAAGCAAGGAGATAAAATCAAGCTATCCACTAATAAAAGCTTGGAGGCCTCAGGCACCAAGCATGCTATCTACGTAGACTATTCCAAATTGCCGAAAATTGTCAAGCCCAAAAATTTGATATTTATTGATGATGGTCTTATTTCGTTGATTGTCAAGGAAGTAATCGGCGACGAGATTGTGTGCAAGGTGGTTAATGGCGGAAAACTGGGATCTCGCAAAGGTGTCAATCTTCCCGGTATTCCAGTCGATTTGCCGAGCCTTTCGGACAAGGATGTATGCGATTTGCAGTTTGGCTTAGAGCACGATGTAGACATGATCTTTGCTTCGTTTATACGTGATGCTAAAGCCCTAAAAGAAATTCGCGAGGTGCTCGGACCCAAGGGAAAGCAAATCAAAATTATATCCAAGATTGAGAATCAACAGGGTATGGAAAATATTGATGATATCATTGCAGCGTCCGACGGTATTATGGTGGCTCGTGGTGATCTTGGGATCGAGATTCTCACCGAAGAAGTCGTACTAGCCCAAAAGTCCATAATTGCCAAATGCAACAAGGTGGGCAAACCCGTTATATGTGCCACCCAAATGCTGGATTCTATGATTGCCAAGCCGAGACCAACACGTGCCGAGGCGTCAGATGTCGCCAATGCCATATTTGATGGCGCCGACTGTGTCATGTTGTCCGGCGAAACGGCTAAGGGAAAGTATCCCGTGGAGTGCATCAAGTGCATGGCGAATATCTGCGCAAAGGTGGAAAACGTTCTATGGTATGAGCGCCTGCAAAACGATTTAAGGAGCTCCATGAAGGCGTCAATGTCTGACAACATATCGGCTATTACTTCGGGGATCACTGAAATTGCTACCTTGGGCCAGGCCCATGCCATAGTTATAGCTAGCCCAAGTCCGGTTGTGGCACAGCTGGTAAGTCAGTTTCGACCAAAATGTCCGATTGTTTTTCTTACGGGAAGCCCAAGAAAAGCACGGCAGTCGGTTATTTTTCGCGGAATGTTCCCGATTGTTCCTGAGGAAATGGCTAACGGTTGCAAAGATTTTGCGCGTATTCTAACTTCGGGCATTGAGGAAATGACTAAGATGAAAATTGTTAATGCGGACAAGCCGATGACACTTATGATTGTAAATGCCCTGGAAGCAGAAAAGATATCCTTCCGCCTCTTGTACGTTAAGCACAAGACTCAGGAAGAAAAATGCAAAGAAGCTGCCGAGGCGAAAGCAAATCTCATCAAAGCTGAAGAGAAAAAAAACAAAAAACGAAAAAGTTGTGTAAAGAAGTCAGAAAACAAAACGCCAGAGCAGATCGAAAGGTGTAAAAAGCTGGCCGAAAAACGGAAAAAGTTACAGAACGCCAAAAATTCCAAGCCATCCACGGATGACGAAAAATTGAGGAAATGCATGGCCATATTGGCTGAAGCAAATAAAGATAAAAACGAAACGTGCAAGTAGGTGTAGAAAGCCTGGTAGAACAGAATAAATTACTAATGGGATCAATATTTTTAGTATAAGCCGAAAAGCTTTTAAGGAATAAATCCTTTTAATACTTATATATAATGCAATATATTGTGTAATTTTGATAAATACAAATTCTAACGTGATTGTAGACATTACGTGTTAATTATGTCTTTTATATATTTGCGCCATGCTAGAATTCAAACATGAATTTAAGAAAAGTTCAAGCACGTAATTACAACGCTGCCAGACCGTGGAAATCAGATCAGTTGAAAAGTCATCGAATATCGTACCTATCTCTCATGTTGGTACAACGTTGCCAGATTGTAATCCGAAGATCTGCTGTAAGACTATCGATTGTTTTAATTATTGTCGATACATAAACAAGCCATGCATTGAGTTGGTTTGTGAAATAACGACAGGTTGCATTAAATAAATTTAAAATCAGCAATAGAGAACAGACTAATTGTTAACAATTAGCTAAACATTAAAAATGTCATTGCCCTCAACAAAAGCAACTACGGCGACAGCAACGAACGCGGTTGTGCAGGCAGTTGAGACATACATTCAAAACCAAAACTTATTGGGTGAGATTGCCGAACTGGATGAACTGCTATATGATTTGATCGATTTGCATAAGCACAATGAATTGGCCCTCAAACGTGTGCTGCAGTGCATCTATAACCTACTGCAGGGCAACAATAAGTGGAATGTGAGATTTGGCTCGAAGGTATTTCACAAACTCATTTCGGTTGTCATCGCCGATAGCACAGATGGTGGCACTACACATGGTCTGCACCGCCAGCTGGTGGCCAACGTGCTCATCTGTGTGCAAATTCATGCACGCAAATTCCCTCGCATTGATGGCAAATTCCTGCTGCGTCAGCTTTGGTCGCTAAGCTTGAGCAGCGAGCGGCAACCGCATGCAGCCCAAATCCTCGTGCAGCTATTTGATGATTTTGCACGTGAACTGGGCGAAGAGTGCGCCTGCTCATCCCAGTTGTATGCTGTCATTCAAAGTTTGCTGCAGTCGGAGGAGCGCGAGCAACGAAAATCCGCGTACTTTCTTTTAAGGAAACTCCTTACGATAATGCAAGCAATTGATAGCACAGGCGGTCTGAGCACACGCGTGCTCGAGAGTCTTAAATGCAATGAGCATGTTTGGTACGCTTATGTGGTCATAATGGAGACGCTGGAAGAGCAACAATCGCATTTGGTGCTGCCCACGCTTAGCACGCTGCTGCCCCGAATTGCGGAAAGCGACCAAAACGACGAGTGGCTGATCTGGTTGCGCATTTTGTACGTCCGACTGTTGCAGGATAATAACATATTGGTACTACGCTGGACCTTAAGTTATTTCTTTAACCGCTTCGACGTATCTAAATTATGCCGCGTCAAGCTGTTGCCCGAATTTCTGGCAGCCACCAACCGAACACAGCTGTACAATGTAGAAAGTAACTTTTTGCCAGCGTTAGACATGGACAAATTTATGTCACACGAAGACGAAGCGCAGGAGTTTTTGGAAGCATTGGTCACAGTGCCATGGCACTCCGTTCCCCTGCACTTTTGGCTGAGGGTAATGCAGCCGGAGAAAGGTGCATTCACCAACAAAAAAGTGCTACTGCAGCTCAGCTCACGGGTTCGCACATTACGAAATGCGGAGTTGCGACAAGAAGCTGGCAAGAGTGTGTTTCAGCTATTTAAGGTAAATATTGCCTTTGCTATATCACTTTTGTACAAGTATAGTAACAGAACTTAATCCTTTATTATAGGCCACCATAGACAGTTTGACACTGGGCGATTATATGGTCTTCATTGAGACACTATTCAACGTGAGCGATGATTATTATAATGACCACCAACGTTTAACAAAAAAAATGCAAAATTGCGAGAACGTTGGAGAAGAGTTTGTTCACTTTAGCAAACGTTGCTACGAAATTATTGTTCGTAATTCCTGCATTTGTATTTTAGTATATGAACTTATAAAGCAATTAAGCAAATTGCCAAATTCGGATCACGGTTGGTGGCGCTTGTTTCCACTGTTTAGTCTAAAATACATGAATCCAGACCTAAAGCAAATATGTTTGGATTTCTATAGAACTCGGTATAATGTGAATATTGAAATGTTTGAAGCTATCGCAAGTCTTGAGGAAGTTCAGCAACATTTGCTGCAGCAATTTAAATGCGAAACAAAGGATGAGAAATCTTTTTTGCTGGAGCACTGTGTAGATTGCTTTGTTCGGGTTAACATAATAAGCTGGACTTCAATGAAACAGCTACATTTGCAACCATGCGAACTTCTAGAATGTGGCACGAAATCAACGTTTCAACATTTAGCAGAAAAATTGGAATTAAGTGCTACAAGAATCGAAGATGAAGCAAAGGTGCTTTCAACTTTGGTCAATTTTTCAAAGAAGCATCCAATCTGTGAAAACGCGTAAGCCAAACCAATTATATCCTTGTATAAACGCATATTTAAAGATTTGCTTTTTCCTTACCCAGCGCTGTGAGCATTGTCAAGTACGCGTCCAAATTTTTGAGCGATGACGAAAATAAGGACCTTTTGACAGATATTATTTGTAACCGCTACGATTCGATAGTTTGGTCCATCTTAATCAATGGAAGAGAAGTGCCCAATTCCTTGGTAGTACAAGGCATACTAGATGGCGAGGTCAGCACAGGAGATGCACGGTAAGTGCGCTTTCTAGTACAAAAATAAAACAGTTAAATATATTTATTTATTATCCACAGCATTGAAGCAGCATACACCGACAGCATTATTGACACACCATTCCATGATGTAAAATTACGAAATAGATATATTTATTTTACGAAACAACAATCAGAGGATATAGTACATGCTATCTGTGCTGAACTGCAGCGAATCAACAAAGAATTGAACGATAAGAAACCTCGTTATTTTGAAAATTGCAAAGAGCATAGAATTAAAATACGCGTCGCTAGAGCACTCCTAATGATAAAAGATCGAATCCAATGGTCCGACGATCTGTGGGGCGCAGTGCTGGCGCCCAATGATCAACTAAACATCTGCTATATGTATGAATGTCTCGTGGCTCAGCTGCTACCTAGCTTTCATCAATTGTTGGATCGAATGCAGTCGTTGGGGTCGCTCAAACCAAGTCAGCAAGTGTCAATCATTTCCGTAGTTCACATATATTGTTTGCTGAATTGGGAGTCTCTTAACTTGCAGCATTTACAGGAAATTGTAAGCTTGCTTTTGCCACACACAATGGGAGCACACTATCAAACCCGTCTTCTCGCTCAACTGGTTTTACACAGTCTCGCAGTTAAGTGCGAAATGTGCAGGTAATCAGTTTAATCAACATTTAATTAAATTCAGTTTTTATTAATTTAAATTAATTTGCTGAATATTTCTAGTATCGAACTGCCTATACTTGGTGCAATAAAGGTTAGCATTGAAATTACTTTGGGGGCAAAGTTGCACGAATTGCAAAACGAAACGCGCCTCTTATTACCGAAAGTACTTTCTGAGCATGCTTTCCCTGCTGATATTATCTTGTATATGACAAATACTCCATTTGATGAATACGAAAAACGGAAAATCACTTGCAATAATTTTAAAGCTAGTGTAGAAGTGGCGCGAACTGCCTTTAAAACGAAAAAGAATCCAATAACCACTTTAGCTGATGTTCTACTTGAGACGACAAATTTAAATGTACAGCGGAAAATGAATCCCATCAACGATATATATAACTATAATAATTTATCCAAAACTGAAGGACAATTGGATGAGCGGGAATTAATAGTTGTTGCGTCCCTCATAGATAAGTTGCCTAATCTTGGTGGTTTGGCGCGCACCTGTGAGGTTTTAGGAGTTAAAACGTTGATATTGGGTGCCAAGTCTTTTGTGGATAAAAGCGATTTCACGAATTTGAGGTATGTATATAATTTATATTGTTGTTTGAGATTTTAGTTGACTCAATTTTCTTCCAGCATGACCGCCGAAAAGACGCTAAATATTGTTGAAGTAAAGCCGGCTGGACTTGGCGAGTATTTAATTGCCAAGCAATCCATGGGATATAAAATTGTTGGTGCTGAGCAAACAGCTCATAGCATTGGTTTTGCAGATTTCAAATTTCCTGAAAAATGTATTTTGTTATTGGGGTAAGTCGTTTTAACTTAAATCTAATTGTTCGTGTATACTAACGATCTTTTAAATTTTTACTTACAGTCATGAAAAACATGGCATTCCAGTGGATCTAATAGCGTTATTAGACTATGCTGTGGAAATACCCCAGTTTGGTGTGGTGCGCTCTCTAAATGTCCATGTGACTGGCTCTTTGTTTATTTGGGAATACTGTAAACAGTATTTAAACAAATAGTAGTTTCGGAATAAAAACACCTGTGAGGTAGTCCTTCAATACAAACGGGTCTAGGTTGAAGACTATTTTTGAAATACCTCGTATATTTCTTGTGATAAATTTCTTGAATAAACATTTCAAAATATATTTCTCAATGCGCATAATTATATTTAGGAATTTATTTTTTTTTTGGTTTGAGAAAGACAGTTACAAAAGCTGTCTATGGGGTTGGTCGTCGCAAAACAGTGCGGCATATTTAGGAATTATTGGAGGATTGTACCGTGTGCCTGGTTTTAAAACGATAAAAAGAAATTTTCAATCGATGTATCGTACGTATCGAAATATATATCGATGTTATTCGTGAATAAATAAACAAATTAAAAAAAACAACAAACCATAATAAAGGAGCACATCGTAAATATCATGAGTTTCTCCGAAAATACTTCCGATTCTGACTGGTAAGGCTTGATTATAAATATTCTGTAACCCGATTAAAATGCTTAAGTATGTTTAGGAAAGAAGCAAAGATTAAAGTGAAACTGAATAGTAGAACTGGATGTCGAAAGCAGAAATATAGCCAAAAGTTTTGTGAAAAGTGGTTAAGTCTCTTCGATCCATGGTTGAGGCGTTCCGCCGATGATCCTAACAAGCCATTCTGCCGAGCATGTCAATGTCGCCTAGATTGTAATCGTTGTCATTTGGTCCGACATGAACGCACAACAAAACACAAAAGAAATTTGGAGTCGTTGGTGACCAAAGGTGAAGGTGCTGTGCGAAAGGAGTTAAGCGTACGTCAAGAGCGCAGTAAATACTACCACCAGAGGAAACGTGCACTGAAAGCGGTGAAACAGGAGCCTGTGCCTACAGTTGCGGTGGCAACTGCAGTAATCACCACCGATGGCGTTATCGAAGAGAGGTGCGTATCTTTCATTTATTGCTATCATTATATTATGTGGATTTTTTCGCAGCCCACAAATCTTTGAAGTAAGTGAAGGATCCGCACAGGATCAGGCACTAACTGTACCGATTGCAACAACGCAGGCGGCGCTTACGGCTTCGAAACACCCAAAAACAAATACATCTAAAACGAATCCAGCGATCACCAAATCGGTATCCAGTCGCAGCCCTAAGAATTCGTCTAATAAAGAGGGGCTCAAGCTTTTAATGCAAATCCAACAAGACAAGAACGAACTAATGGAATCTTTCCGAGAGCTGATTGGAGTTCAGTTACCACACCCGCCCCAAAGAGAGAAAAATCATGTTGATCTGTTCTTTGAAAGCGTTAGTTCTAGTGTTAAAGCGCTTTCGCCGAAACTCGTAGCAGAGGCAAAGATGCGAGTGTCGCAACTTATTTGTGAGCTAGAGCTGCGCGCCTTGAAGGATAATAGTGAAAATGGACATATCGCGGGCACAGAGCTGCCAATGACAACGCCAAAAGCAAACAGTGCTCATCTGGTCACGCAGGCTACCACCGGACACCCAAGTATTGCTCTTCATCCGCAATTTGGAAATCTGACATAAAATTGAAAGCCGGGCTTATGATGCAAATATATTGATAAGATAACTAGGTCTAATTTGTACAGATATTGTAAATAGATTTATTAAAATGGATACAAGTGATTTATCTCATACACGTATTTAAAAATAAAAAAAAATCGGTACATCGCATGTAACGAACTATCGATATGTTTTTGATTGGCATTGTACATCTCTATTGGCCGGTGTCGGCGAATTGTAAACAAACGTCGACAACAAGCAATCATTTTTATGAAGACGTTAAGGTAAGCACTTAAAGAAGCTAGAAGCGGTAACATATCCATGGTACCTATATGAATTTATATATATAAATTGCTTTTCTAGCCACGATTAAGAACGAAACCTTATTTGCACCATGGCGTTCAGGCGTCCTAGCATGAAAGCCAAGCCTCTGGTAAATCGCGAGGAACTTTTACAGAGCATAGTGCGAGATCGCACGTTGTTGAACGACTATTTTCAAAGCCTGGCAACAAAAGAGTCACTACAGAAGGAATCATCCACAATAACGATAACACCGAAAGCTGTGCCACTGCAACAACGTGACAGCTATGATTTGTTCTTCGAAAGCGCATGCATCAGCATTAAGAGTCTGCCGCCTAAATTGGCAGCTGAGGCCAAAAGTCGCATTTCACAAATCATCACTGAATTTGAGTTGCGTGCCATTTCAGAACAAGAAGCCCAACAGGAGAAGGAAAAACAACAAATCGCCAAAACCGTGAGAGTATCTAACGAACAGTCAATGGATAGTTCATCTGGGATTGTTTACGAATTTCAGGCATACACTTAACGGAGCTGTCTCTGTTATTTCTGTCAGCACATGATTTAAACACAATATTAGTATGTCTTGGCACATTTCGTACATCTAAATCTTAAAATTTATTAAAATTAAAAATTCTAAATTTTTGGCTTTTCACAAACTTTTGTTAAACATAAATATTTGGTTTTAATGCTTGTGGTTCCATTTCGTCGCTAAATTCTTACAAATTGGCAATGCCAAAACATCCAAAGGTTTGCATCATTGGTGCAGAAGGCTGGTAGGTCGTCAAGATAATTTCATTTTTGTATATCTTATGATAATTGCCAACTTGATATATTTTAGGGGCTCTGCAATCGCCACTGCTGTGTGTAAAAATGTCGTCAACAGCGAATTTGACTCCCGAGTGCACATATATGTCTACGATGAGCTTGTTAGAAGCAATTACCTTTCTGAGATGATGAATGAACAGCACGAGAATATTAAATATCTGCCTGGAATAAGACTGCCCACAAACTTGGTAAGGTCCCCTTTAAAATCTATAGTACGTACCACTTGCTTAGAATATCTACTCTCAGATTGCCGTCAATGACCTGCTTGACGCCGCACGGAATGCCGATATTTTAATATTTGCTACGCCGCATAACTTTTTAAAATCCTACTGTAATATATTAGCTGGCAATGTAAAACGCGATGCTTTTGCCATCTCGTTAACCAAGGGATTGGAGCATGTTAGAGATGGCGAAATCCAACTTTATTCTCATGCAATTGCCCACCTGTTGGAGATACCATGCTATTCAATGATGAATGCTAACAGTGCCATGGAAATGGCACAGGGAAAACTCTGCGAAATTACTATTGGCTGCAACAATGATGCACATGCGAATCAATTAAATTATCTGTTTCAGACCGAAAATTGTTTGGTGGTTACCATTGATGATGTTGATGGAGTGGAACTATGTAATACACTGAAGGATTTAGTTGCGCTAAGTGCCGGCATTATTGATGGCTTGCATCTGGGTCAAAATGCCCGAATCGCTTGCCTTCATCTGGGCATAAAGGAAATGATGCGATTTATCACGAATATCAGTCCAACTACCAAGATGACTACATTTTTGGAAAGCTGTGGCTTAGCAAATTCTGTTGCTTCCGCCCATGGTAAGTAAACTCTCTCTAATATACCCCGTACACTTTAATATTGGATAATGAAAATTGCATGTATTTAATTTTGATTTTTTTTTTGTATTTAGAAACTTTTGATATGGTTCTTTACAAGAGATAACGTGCTTGCAACCTCTTTTTTCCCAATTTCGCCCTCGATTTCTTTTTTTCTCCCTTTGACTCACTTCCCCTCCCACTTTCTCTCTGTCTCAGTTTGAGTGTCTTTCTACGCTTTATGATCTTAAATACTTTTCTTTGTTTGCTTATTTTTAGGTGATAAAAACGCTACCTTTGCTAAGAACTTTGTTACCTCGAGAAAAACTACACAGGAAATTGAGGCAACTCTTTTGAATGGTCGCAAATTGCTTGGTCCCATTGTTGCTGGTGAGATCTTTGCGTATTTAGACAACCAAGGTTTGCATGAAATGTGAGTTTGTTGCAACTATACCACATTTGTGAAATTTGAAATAACAATTTGACATTTATTTTTAAAGATACCCGTTGTTTTCGATAATACATCGTATCTGTCAGAAGGAGGTACCACCACAAGCCATTGTAGATACCCTCCGTAATCATCCGGACTTGTGGTAAGTACAACAGTCTTGAACATGTTTAACTCTTGGAATAATGTATTCTATCATTTATCAGCAATTTCTCGGTCACCCAATTGCAAAAAGATGAGAAACCGGTATCCATATGTAGCACAGACGGTATTCTTGAGAATGTACCTGACACAGTTCCCGAGTACAGCACTGCTACGTTAAATGGCACTACTTTTGATCAGGTGGATAATGAGGAAATTAGTTGTGACGCTGAAGACGAGAAGCAAGGCTTTTGGAAACCATACTTTCAATATTTTCAAACTGAAAATAACTCAGAGGAATTAGAAGAGTTTCTTAATAAGTCGCAGATCGCAACTGGAGCTATTGATGAACCCAAGCCTGATAGTGGTGGCGTAGAATTTTCCTTTGAAATGGGCTCACATAAGGATAAGCCGGAAATTCGTCTTGATATTAAAGAATCTATGGTGCGTCCATCGCTAGCGGCTAGCGGTATAACAGAGCCTGGCAACGATGTAGTCGGCTCACAATTAATTCCCAATGATAACGCAAATAATGAAAGCTCTAGTTTCATTATGGAATCGAGGTTACAGCCGATCGTAATGTCACAGTCAGGAGAGAATGAAACAGTTGGGCCAAAACCCTCGACTTCTGTCGGCTTGAATGAGCTCATTGAACGGCATGTGAGGCCCTTAAATGACAAATATAAAGCATTAAAGGTGCGGGCTAAAGGTGAAAATGAAAATTCCGATCAGAAAAAGGAACAGGAAATGACTATTATGAATAAAGACGCAAAACAAAAAACAATGAACCAAAATGAGAGCTGTGCGGAGGATGCTAAGCAGGCCGAATCAGCCAGTAAACTATCTGAGAGTCAAGAGGAGCAAGGGGAGCAGAACAATGAAAAGACAGAATCAGCGAAACCAATCAAATCGGAAATCGAACAAATACTATATGAGCAGGATTCCACGTTCAAAATGCGACTGTTTGATGACGAGCCAAATGTTTCAAACTATTTAGAGTTGATCCGCAAGAAAGAAAGTGATGCCTTGCAGAATGATCTATGCTCCATTAAAAATGTGAAGGGGAAAAGTTTGGAGAATGCCAACAACAGATCCAAAGTTGATTCTGAATCAGAAAATGATGCAATCAAATCAGAAGTGAAGGACAGAACATCTGTGGAATATCATGGTGACAACGAGAAAAATTTGGAGAGATCAAACAAAGATTTTACTAATAATAAGGACTTAAAAAGCAGCAGGGATTCCGATTCGAAAAAATATTCAAATTGGATTGAATTGAAGGACAGCCCATCTGCGGCATTTAAAAAGGTTCCTGAAGGTTACAGATATGATTATAAAATAAGTATTAAGTCGAAAAAATTTCCATTCGACAAAGCTCCTTCTACAAAAGCTTTTTTGGAAGACCCAAAGATGGCCAGTTCGTTTTCTCTGGCAAAAGCTGAATATCATGGGGAAGATAACTGGCAGACTCTCAACTTTGTAAATGGATATAGTCAAGACAAATGGGATCAGCTGGAAATGAAAAAAGGCAAGGTGGAGATCCAAGAAAAGTTACCAGAATCTCTACTATATAAGCCTATTTCCTTTAAAATCGACAGAAACGATTCGAAAAAAATAATTCAAACTGCTTTTGAGGCAACAGATGAGCCCGTATTGATACTGCGCTCTGCTGATGAGTATCCACAGAGTTTGGAATTAAAACAAGAAACACATTGTCCAAATCTAAAAATTTCCCAAATTTATAACCCTCAATTAGAGCACAAGGAAGTTTTCACGAAAAGAGCTTTAATGGAACCCACAGCTAAACAAAACAGTTTCAGCGACATGGACAATAATAAAATAAATAATAAATCTGATAATCAACAATATGAAGAACCAATGAAAGACTCCCAATTTACACAATCAAATATGAAAGAAGGCAAAATTTCTTTGAATCCGCGATTTTCTGTCGAAGACTTCGAACAGCAGCGATCTCCACGACACATTTTAATGCACGAGAACTCCAATAAAATGGAGCCCAAAGCACTTGCTGTCGATGGCGAGGACTTAACGAAAAAGTCTAAAAATGCAAATCAAAACTCTTCTTCCACTGAAGTAAAATCCACATCCTCTAAAGACACCAGCAACGATTCGTCTGGACGGTATAATCAACTAGCACCTAGGGGGGAAGAGAGTGATAAGTTAACAGCGCATGGATCAGAGTTTGTTCGATCCAGCTACGATAGATATCAACGTATTTGGCAATCCAACCCAAGGCATAGATTCAGTGATGCTAAATTTTCTCCGAGTACAGAAATTGAAGTAGAAAACGATATTCTAGACGATGTGGTACCCAAAACGATTGAAAAAAAACTAAATGACAAAAGAAAGTTCATTAATTACAAACATCGGGAGGACCGCGATGACTGTGACAAAGACAAGGAAAAGAGACGAAGGGACAATAAAACAAAACAGAAAGATGGACGTGACGTGAACCGGAATTATTTCGACGAGGATCACCATACCTCCATACCATTAGAATCTTATGAAAAATACGAAGATACTGCATACATGGAGAAGCTAGAAACGGTTGTGGAGAAGGCCATTCTAGAAAACCAGGTGCCTGCACCTATTGAAAGCAAAATAAGTGACAAAGAAGCAAGTCAAAATCCGGAATTAATAGAAATCAAAAACGAAGAAATTACAAATTTTACGGCATTGGATCAGGATAATACACAAACAAAATATTTTAAAAAGGCGGAACAGGGAGAAGAGCTTTCGTTGGGCACGGAACCCGTAGACCTAAAGCGCAGCACTAAAGATCCGATTGGAATGTCTGAGAGCCTTGAAGAAGAGAGTGAGAGGGAAACTAAAGCAATTCAATTGGAAGACAGGGTTCAACAATTTTTAGCCAATAAGATTCACACCGAAAAAGTACCTAAGCCTAGCTCTGAATGGGATTGGTTGTTGGATAATGATAAATTTGACAGCGCTCTCGACGAATTTAAGCAGAGCCAAGAAGATGCGGCAAACAAACCTGAGCATCGAGATCTTTCTGACTTCAACCCCAGAGAAAATTGGCAAACTTATAGTTTAGAACAGTCCGAGGAACCAGAACGCATGCAAGAGCCTAGACTCGATCCCGATCAACTATGGGCAAAAGGCGAACTAGATTCAAACAAGCCGGCACTTAAAGAAGCACTTGCACTTGAGGAAGTAACAAAAGATGAAACGCAGGATCAGCTAATGAACCTTGGGGAAGCAACAAAGGATGAAGCGCCGGAACAGCTATTGAACTTTGGGGAAGCAACAAAGGATGAGACGCCGGAAAAGCTACAGGTGCCCGGGTCTGAATGGCCCAAGGATGTAGATGCAACGAAATTCACATTTTCCCCGCCACCTCCTTCGATGGAGGTGCTAACGAATGTTGCGGACGCAAAGGAGTTAGCTTCTCCAGACTCAGATGTTCCAAAGGCTGAGGACACACAGCTTGAAAAAGAAGGGCGAAAAGAAAAGATTTCATACAAAATTGAAAGAGAACCAGCCGCGGAGGAGAAGATTTCACCCATCGAAGGGTCAGAAGAATCGGAAAACCCTAGGGAATATAGAAAGCAAAAATCTCAAGAAATGTATGATATAGCCAGAAAACAATTTTGGATGGTGCAAGATGAGCACAAAAACAAGACCAATCGTGAGGACGTGCAAGTCAGCGAAATTACCAAACAGCTGACTAAAATCATGACTAAGGGTAAACCAGCGCCTCCGCAGCCAATTGAGCGACCGGTCGATTACCAGGGCGACGATCCATATATCAAAGATGATAAAAGATGGCCCAAGCACTCCTATGGCAATGTGCTGGAAGGGGCTAGTAAAAAGCACAGTAGGGTTGTGGTTAAGCCATTCCATCCGCCGCTCAATCCGCGCGTCCGCATACCACGGCCCCCCTTTGATGTGCGAGATCACGAATATCACACCGTGAATTTCCGCCCTCCACCTGATCTACTGCGTACCGTTATACTGCCGAAGAAGCGCACAACGGTAACGTGCCAGGCCGGGCAGGCGGGCACCAGAAGCGTGTCGATGCTGCCGCGACCTGTGCTGAAACTGCCCCCATTTATGATGCGCTCCTCTGTTCTGGCCATAGAGCTGGGATTCGTTGCCGCACTCTTATCGCGCTACAAAACTGGCCGCAAGTAAGAAACGAAGATAAACCAAAAACACATAACAATATTATCAAATTTGGCCCGGTCAAAGTGTTCCTTTTGGCAATAAATTCGATATGAACGTAGATTCTTAGCATTTATTATAACCAGATGTATTCCGATGGCGGGCGGCGTTGAAATACCTGCCGCCCCTCAAGGGACTGCAATGGTCGAAAGGTGTTTAACAGCTGTCGTCCGCGGCGATCTCTCAGCTGCCAAAACTTTGGCAGTTCCAGATGCGATATGGGCAAAACCTCGGCAAACACATGCCACAGCACAGCTGGCGAACAGGGCGGCGTTGTCAGTGAGCCCCTGTATGCATAAAAATTGCCCCTATCCAAGTTGCCAAGTAGCGATCCAAGTGTGAGAAAGGCGGCTGGCGTGTAGCTGCTGTTAAAGTCGCCCAGGTGGAGCAGCGAGCCAAGGATTTCACTGAGACCAGGTTGATAATGCAGATAGTTGGTCTGCAAGGAACACGCACGATTAGCGCTTGGAATGTGTTTATATCTAGGACACGTATTCACTTACGCGGACCACCTTAAAGAGCACAGCTAGTACGGCCAGGCCATCGGTCTGATTTCTCGCCTCCTCATCGCTCTGGTAGTTTGTGTTGCGATGAACGATATGCATTTCCAGATCGTAGCGACGACCATTAAGCAAATGCTCCGAGCCCTTGCGCTGAGACGAGCCCCAATGGAAATGCACGGCCATGGCCTCATAGAAGTCTCCCAAAAGCCCGCCGGTGAGATAAGGACGCTCACCCAACACTGTTGTGGGCACTCGGAACTCAACTGTGAATAAACTAGATATTCTTTGAAAATGTAATGCATATTTCCAGCTGCCTCGTACATGCCTGTATGTCCATTGTTTCTGACACTCAGAAGCTCATCGAACGGCTCCTCGTAGTGACCAAAGTTCAAAGGCGGCAAACTAACGGGTATTGATTTGCGTGGACTAAGTGCTATGGGCGACTGATAGGAGCCGCCACATTGTGGATAATTATGTCGCCATTGCTGTGGCTCATCGTAGCTGAAGCGTAGTCCCTCCGGCAGCAAATCTAAACGGCAAAAAGTTGTATTAAAAAATGCTTCCTAAATTTGAAACTATTATTTGTATTCTATAAGATATAAGATACTTAAGCACGTCGCTCAAACACAAATCAATAAGAAAAGAATGAAATTATATAAAGAAAGTGTGGACCCAAAAATGAGTCCAACAAGTGCTTCAGTCAAAATCTGCTTGCTACTTAAATTACAGCTATTAAGTCACATTCGTCATTTTGGGTCAATATTTTCGAGCAATATTTGCACATTTAAGAGCAATGTTTTCAGTTTAAAGACACTGGGAATTCCCGAAGACATTGAGTAGCTCCGCGGCTCGATGAGAGTATTTTGTAGAGTACTCTGCATGAAGACCATTTGGTAAAAAGATATCATAGCATATGGAGCAGAGATATATAAAAGACCTTCAAGCTAAATCACGAATAGCGCTGTCTTCTTCGGCTAAGACAATGATTCGAGCCGGAATCCTGGCCTGGAATGACTGGCCCACTAAGACAATTTTTCTGTCGATGATCGGCATTCGCTTATTTATAATCTGTATGCATCATTTGCGTTTTAGCCTCTTACACGTTGGGCAATCTCCAGGTATTCAACCACAATGGCTAACTGTTTTGACTCAGTTCCCAACACGTACCGTCAATTGCAGCCCCAAAGTGTACAATAATTGTACAATTTGTGGGGGAAAATGGCCAAAAAGGCTATGATATTTACGCCATCTTATATAATCATTGTAAACAATAACATTGCCGTGACATCTTCCATGGTCTTTGTGAAGCATTTGTGCATGCGATTTTAATTATTGTTATTATTTACAAGCCACTGGCTTGTTTGCCATCCATTAGACGATGTGTGTGCTCTGTCTGCTCCGGCATCCATTTGACAGTTTTATGCTACAGATTAGAGATGGCTCATAAATTCGGGCCAAAGATGCCGTTACAGATCGTAAAACCCATTGAACGTTGTCGTTAACTCTTATAACACACACATATGCCGTATATTTTCATATGGCGGAAGCATTGTTACATTTTCAAAGTTTTGATTGACAATCGGAGATATTCTTTGGACACAGTTGGTTGATTTGCAGATAGAGTTGTTAAAAATAATGATACCCACTTGCTGAGAACGGCAGCAGAAATAGCAAACGCTGATAGAAATCGCCAATTGTCGGAAAATGCATTCTTCAAAAACCACGCACACGCACTAAAATTTACAAATGTCCATACATATACATACATATGTACATGAATACTTAATTGATATGTGCAATTGTTGGACCCACGCACTTCCAACAAAGATGCTCACGCACGTTGCTCTGCAGACTGAGCCATGCTCACGGCTGGCTTAGACCTTTATACGACGGAGTCGCTGGCTCTGACAGCCCTTCGTCGGAGTTAGGCGCCGCGACGGCGACAGATTTTTGGGACAAGACATCGGCTCTGGAAAGACTTTCAGCTGTGTAGTCGACTAGAGTTTTGTATGTTCGATTCGTGCGGATCGAAAAAATTAGAGCTTTAATACAATTGTTGTGGGTATGTGTACTGAGATAGGTTGGCAAGTGTACACCTACACAACATTTTACATGTCTATAAGCTGCTTCCAAGAACAAGATTCTTGAAGAACTTCTGATTACAGCGATGACATGCAGTAATAAAATATTACGAAATATCCAAGCTTGATCTTTATCTGTACAAAACTACGATTGCAATTACTTACGATTATGTACAAGCACCGACTATGCAATGCCCTTACAGACATTTGTCACATGTAATATGGACTGAGAAATTTATTCGATTTCGATAACGACAGCAAGCACCGACTTTGAAATGCCCTTATGTCACATGTATCAAGTGTGAAATTTATTCAATTTCAAATTTCGACTTTCACATCAATATATGAAGCCATTTGAATGGCTGATTATGTTAAAAAAAAACAATAATAATAGTTATAATACTAATAGGTATATATAATATAACACTTCCATATGATATACAGAAAAAAGAAACAATATAATTGCCAGATTTCATCGCGATAAAAAAAAACTTCATTATTATATTGAAAGCTTCGCTAACGTTATTTGCTTTGATCTTTTGTTAAGACATTTCTGGTTTTATATTCAACAAATGCCAAAATTTACTTTTTCATGGCTGCAGTTCTTGAGTGATGCCAATGTAAGTTTGTTTATCTTTAAATGTTAAAATGTTCAGCTTCAATGAAGGTAAGTCACACCAGAAATCTATAAATAGACTATACATTTAAAAAAAAAGGGGGTACAGAGATAACAAGATATATATCAGTGAATAGCCCCGATTAGTTCATATATTGATTTGCTTAGCCATGTTTAAAAAGGTTCTTATCTCCGAATTTCTTAGCCAGCAGCACTTTGTAGAGAAAGCTTTTGATGTGATTGCATTTATTGGAGAATTGCCAAGTGAATTATATAGTAGATCAAGTTCAAAGTCGAGCCAAATGTCCGAGAAATACATTGTCTTGAATGCTGTACCGTTTAATTTGTGTGTTCTAGATGCCGATCAGCTCACAAATTTCCCTCTCTCTCTCTCTCTTTCTCTCTCTTTATATACTAAAATCCGTTCAATGCAACACATTTAGTTTTATATAAAAATAAAGCTTTTTTAAAAGTGATTTGTTTGGGCTGTGGTAAAGTTAATTCCTAAATACAATATTACTTATATTGATAAATTATCAAAGAAACTTAGACAAGGGCTATAGGCATTTTACGCATTTCTTTTTGTAAATAATTAATTAAATATCTATTTGCATTTGAATGGTTTTTAAGTTGGTCACTCGAGGCCAATTTAAAATATTCAAGTATTAGCATCCATTCAAAGTATTATGCAACGTTTTTAATTTAACTCTCAGTTGGCCAAACAACTGTATTTTAAATATGTATGTATATTTATTACAATTATTTTCAAATTTCAAATTTCGGTTAGTGTGCAATAATACAACTTTTATTGATTTTTCGCTCTTTCTCAACGTGCTGCGGAAGACAACAACAGCAACCGGCTCAGCATCAGCTGTTGCTGTACCGTAGTCATCAACATCGTCGACGCCGATAGCGACGTCGACTGAGACGTTAAGTAGCAGCTCATATTTTGCCAATAAGAATTGTGCGCAGTACTCGACCGCAGCCAATAGAAAAACAAACGTAGTTGCAGGCAGAAGTGATATAAACAAAACAACGCAGTGCAAGCCAAACGGATAAGCGAATAGAGTGTGTGAGAGAGGAGTCGATGCAAGTGATGTTCAAGTTATTGAAACAAAAAGTGTAACGTACTGGCATTACAAAAAATATTTAAAGAAAACGAAAAACAATAACTACGCAAAATATCTCACAAAAAAAAAACTTATCAAAACGCACAAACAACACTCGTAAAATTAAATAACAGAAATGCGCGAGCTTAGGGAGCTGCGACAGCGTCAGGCGTAAGTACAATATGTGAGAGGGGTGAACGGCGTGCTGAGGCAGTGGTGAGGCATAGACGAACGGCACTTTGGCGCGCTATTCCACAGTGTGTGCGAAGCGTAGACACAACAACAAAATATATGTATATCCAAACTATGCCAATATGTAGGCGCATGCAATGGCAACGACAGCGACCGCAACAACAGTAACAATTTGAGAGGGAGAAGGAAGCGCAAAATAAGCAAACAAAAATTTGGTAACTCGACAACGCCGAATATGACGAGCAAAACACGGAGAACGAAAACACTTTAAAGCGTAGCCACAGCTTGCGTTTTGTTTTGTTTTGTTGTGTTTCGGCTTTGGCATGTGAGCGCGGACTCTTTTTTTCTGTATCTTTCAGATACGTTAACCAAAAGTATGTGTGGTATGTGCGTTTCAAAAAGTATCAAGTCGAGCCGCGTGGCTCAACAGAAATTTGCTAAGCATTACAATCGAAATGGCCTTTGCTGAATATAGCAGCAACAAAATATAAAGTACGTAGTTAGGGCATTTTTTGCAGATCGGATGAAGTTCAGATAAAAATATTTAATCCAAGCAAGCATTGAAATTTTATAAGCGGTGCGCAATCGGATAGACACTAACTTAATTTTTTAAAAATCATTAAAATTTCAATATCTTGGCGGCGCTAATGCTCAGACCTGTTTTTCATTTCAGTTCCAACCTCATGGCAAAAACGAATCGCCTTGTACTATTGCGCCACGGCGAGAGCGAGTTTAATCTAAAGAATCTATTTTGTGGCTGGCACGATGCGCCGCTTAGTGCGGGTGGTAAGCTTGCGATAATTATAATAAATATGTTTTTTTTATACCCTTTCAGTGAGTATTATAGTTTTATCACGAAACGTGTACCGTTAATCAGTAACCGTCTGTTGGTCTGTTTCTATGCAAATTAATGTCTCGGCTTAGTCTTCTTTGGTAATATGTTGCACACCGTCCGTAAGGGTATTTAGTATTCGGCATTTCGAACAGTTGCGTCTTTTATGTATACTGATAGTCACCCCGATTTTCACAACAGGCGTGGAACAGGCGCGCAGCATCGCTGCAGCTAATTTGAAAAGTGCCGGAATGGAATTCGATAAGGTTTACTGCTCGAAGCTGAGTCGCTCCAAGCGTACCGCCGATTTGATATTGAGCGAATTGGAATGCTCCTTTCTGCCGATTGTATCAGATTGGCGGCTCAATGAGCGGCACTATGGCAATTTGACGGGCATTAACAAACGGGAACTGGCCAATAAGTATGGCGAGGAACAGGTACAGCATTGGCGACGCAACTACGACGGCCTGCCACCTCCAATCGAGACCTCCAATCTCTACTTTTACGAGATCTGCAATAACACCGACTTTCAAAATGTGCCAGTCAATGAATTTCCCCTCACCGAATCTATGCGCATGTGTGTGGATCGCGTCAGTCCCGTCTGGAAAGAGATCAAAAAAGATGTGCTCAAAGGCGCACGCGTCTTGGTCGTCGTCCATGGAACTGTGGCTCGAGCCCTGATTAAGCACGTTGAAGGTGCGTAACGTGGATCGTACGATCTGAACAGCTAGCTGTACTGTACGACTTGCTTTTGTTTCTTTAGGCCTGTCTGAAGAGCAAATCGAAAAGGTCAACATTCCCAATAGTGTGCCAATTGTCTACGAGTTCAATATGAGCACTGGTCAGCTGATTGGCGAGAGCAAATACTTGGGGGATAGCAAGTATATTGAAGAAATGAAGAAAAAAGTGGCAGCTATTGG